TGGTTTGCTGTTCGTACTGACCAGTTACGATGAAGATGCCCAGGTCAGGGTCACTCTCCTCGGGTCAGCGGCAACCAACAGCGTGTCTCTGTCGGACGAGCGCAGCGAAACCCCCAGGGGTAGGTGAAGAAGTCCTCATCACTCGGTCCAGTGCGTTTGTGTGGACTAGAGTGTTGGCTTTGTAGGTTCACTAAGGTCAATGTCTCGGAAGCATGGAGGAAAGAAAACAGCTGACCGGACCAGGTCCGGAGCGAAGTTCTGCCCGGTGGAGGAGCCTGCAAGGGTTATGTCCGTGTTGATATGAATCGGCAGTTGATTGGCCGAACTAGGAATCATTGCAGGCAGGCAGCTCGGGGCTGAACTATGTACGGTCTCGTTTCGGTGGAATCACTTGGTAACACATGGTCCCTCGCCAGGAAAGCAGGAGAGAAAATCCACGCATATATGCCACTTCAATTGCAGCAAAGATGTATTCCACCATGTCACAGCATGTCAACCTCCTTAGCTCAAAAAAATTACAAGCACAACATTTGGTGACGTGTTATTTTCCCAGTGTAATAATCAGACCTGTAGCTGGCATCAGACCAGATTGTCGCCGTCCGACCTTGACCTGCTTCCCTGTCGACCCTGACCGGCTGCCCGGCACCTCCGGCAGCTGTTTGCCCCACGGGAACCCAGTACGTTTTGGGTGCGAACAACGACAAGTGCGTGTCTGACGGTGACACCGGGACGTTTGTCAACGGCTTCAGCGAGCGCGACACCGCCTGCACCGATGGCTGGCCATACGCCCCCAGGTACGAGCAAACAGCTGACTCGCACCCCCAGGTGGGATCGGAGGCTCACTTTACACCTCCGGTGAAACCAAATGTGTTATTCTACGCCCCCAGGTGCGATCAAACAACTGACTTACACGTCATCATCAGGCGGGATCAAGCACCCCATTTCACACCCCCGGTGCGATCAAATAGCCCACTTAACACCTACAGATGACATCCAAAGACTCCGTCCGCTCTCATGTGACATAAGGCGACTTGTTTCATGCCTCGAGCGCGATCACGTGACCCAATTTGCACACTTTGGTGGGGAGTAAGACCTTATTTTGCGACGTCATTTAGTTTAGAATGCACACACAAGTACCTCACGTGTTGAGTCAACCCATGGGTACCTACATCGGAGGGATACTGGGTTGGATACAGCTTTGGAAAGAACTACGGGTATCAGTACGGGTAAGTGTAAAAAGTTTGCAAACGTTGGGTAGACACATAAAGAAATGCCGCACAATGCTACTGCTTGTAATTATTTCAGCCATGGGTAGCTGTGTGCAGTGCACAGGAGTAAGCTTAGGTGTAAGCTTTCTTAGAGATTTTTCAAAAGTTAGGACTAGTTGCTTGTAGACTTCAAGTGGGTGGCTAACAGCTGTGATTCTAAAATGAGCTTAGGACATATGTCATGTCACTTCGGGACACATCGTGTCATTTTGGAACATACGATGTACTGACATGTTACTTTGGGACACATCGTCGTCAGCACGAAATGTCCCAAAGTGATGTCATTAGAATTCTCAAGGTGCACTCATTTCCCAATTGCCCCATATTATTGACAAAACTTTGCAAAATTTTGCAGAGTGTCATAGATCCTGGCTTATATGAATGGTACACATGAATCAGAAAGATACGTTTCTATTTTTCAAAATACTTAACAGGAATATGATTTTTAGGCGTGCCCAGTGGAATTACACCTATATCTGTATTCTAACGATACTTCTCGTGATTCAACACAATGAGATCCAGCCATGGGCCAAAGCCGTGTGTTTACTTATCCGACAGCTCAGCTGAGTGGAGCACACATCCACATGTGTTCTTACTACGCTGGTTCATTTCGGCTCGGTGTCCTCACCTGCATTTGAGCTGCGCTGTCTGCAGTTTCAGCCACTGCAGTCTGACCTGTCTGGACTTGTGAGCAGCTGTTTAGACCACCTCTGGACTCTCATCCGAGCTGCTCACATGTGTGTTGGCCTTGCAGGAGTGCTAAAGACAACGCCTTCATCGCGTCCATCACCGACATTTCCCCGTACGACGTTCTCACTGGAAGAGAGCACGCCACATTCATCAACATCCAGGTTGGCGCGCCGTGACGCGCCGGGCGGTACATGGCCCGGCAGCCGGCTGCGACCTTCGGTGCTGTCTCCGTTTACAGAGATGCTGGCCGTTGATGGCCAGGAGTCCTGATTAGAGAGACCAAATGTCAGCTCACAATGCTGTAGTATTGTGTCTTGGTTAGAAAGACCAGATGTCAGCTCACAACGCTGTAGTATTGTGTCTTGGTTAGAGAGACTAAATGTCAGCTCACATCGCTGTAGTATTGTGTCTTGGTTAGAGAGACTAAATGTCAGCTCACATCGCTGTAGTATTGTGTCTTGGTTAGAGGGACCAAATGTCAGCTCACACCGCTGTAGTATTGTGTCTTGGTTAGAGGGACCAAATGTCAGCTCACAACGCTGTAGTATTGTGTCTTGGTTAGAGCGACCAAATGTCAGCTCACACCGCTGTAGTATTGTGTCTTGGTTAGAGCGACCAAATGTCAGCTCACATCGCTGTAGTATTGTGTCTTGGTTAGAGGGACCAAATGTCAGCTCACAACGCTGTAGTATTGTGTCTTGGATAGAGAGACCAAATGTCAGCTCACACCGCTGTAGTATTGTGTCTTGGATAGAGAGACCAAATGTCAGCTCACACCGCTGTAGTATTGTGTCTTGGTTAGAGCGACCAAATGTCAGCTCACATCGCTGTAGTATTGTGTCTTGGTTAGAGGGACCAAATGTCAGCTCACAACGCTGTAGTATTGTGTCTTGGATAGAGAGACCAAATGTCAGCTCACACCGCTGTAGTATTGTGTCTTGGTTAGAGACCAAATGTCAGCTCACAACGCTGTAGTATTGTGTCTTGGTTAGAGAGACCAAATGTCAGCTCACATCGCTGTAGTATTGTGTCTTGGTTAGAGAGACCAAATGTCAGCTCACAACGCTGTAGTATTGTGTCTTGGTTAGAGAGACCAAATGTCAGCTCACAACGCTGTAGTATTGTGTCTTGGTTAGAGAGACCAAATGTCAGCTCACACCGCTGTAGTATTGTGTCTTGGTTAGAGAGACCAAATGTCAGCTCACATCGCTGTAGTATTGTGTCTTGGTTAGAAAGACCAGATGTCAGCTCACAACGCTGTAGTGTTGTGTCTTGGTTAGAGAGACCAAATGTCAGCTCACGACGCTGTAGTATTGTGTCTTGGTTAGAGAGACCAAATGTCAGCTCACACCGCTGTAGTATTGTGTTTTGGTTAGAGGGACCAAATGTCAGCTCACAACGCTGTAGTATTGTGTCTTGGTTAGAGAGACCAAATGTCAGCTCACACCGCTGTAGTATTGTGTCTTGGTTAGAGCGACCAAATGTCAGCTCACATCGCTGTAGTATTGTGTCTTGGTTAGAGGGACCAAATGTCAGCTCACAACGCTGTAGTATTGTGTCTTGGATAGAGCGACCAAATGTCAGCTCACACCGCTGTAGTATTGTGTCTTGGTTAGAGACCAAATGTCAGCTCACAACGCTGTAGTATTGTGTCTTGGTTAGAAAGACCAAATGTCAGCTCACAACGCTGTAGTGTTGTGTCTTGGTTAGAGAGACCAAATGTCAGCTCACAACGCTGTAGTATTGTGTCTTGGTTAGAGAGACCAAATGTCAGCTCACAACGCTGTAGTATTGTGCCGGTTTGACCTTGAAGTGGTCGATGCCTTGCCTTTAGAATATTTAAGCCTCACAAGCCGGTATTCTTCATCTTGGGATCGCTTAGTAACATAAACGTTTCAGTATTTACATATGTAATTGCAAAACAACTCTGCAAGCGCCGTAGAACATGAGAACACCATTACGCATGCCGTGGGCGCGATCATACTCCACCTCTTGAGCTGCCAGTCTTATAGTTCCAGCTGATCTATGTCCACCCGTCCTATGTCTCGCATCATGTACAGCTAGGGAAACTAGTAAGGCGAGCATTGGAGTGGACCTGCACTGCACTTACACCAGTTCAAAGAGCTCGCTATTGGTAACAGCATGACTGGAGTAACCGCAAAGAAGTTTAATTCATGTTATGATGTTTCCTCTGAAAATGTAAGCTTTAAGCTCATCGAATGATCTCATGCCTCAAGGAACCAAGGACGGCTTTATAATCAGGGCGATCAGCGCCTCTTCAATGTTTTTTCTTGGGGGGGGGGGGCGATTCTTATCACAACAGTGGTGAGCCATGATTGTCTCTGTCTTTTTTCTTCCTTTATATTTAGCCTGTTTGTGCATTTGACACCAGTTAACGATCAAAAGGAGTACTCCACATGTGTACGGGGTTTCGAATTGAGATAGCTTTTTTGAAGATCAGTCGATGCAATACACAACCATGGCCTATTCGAGCCTTCAAGCCACCTTGTTTGTAAGCTTAACGCATCGAACTTCGAGGCTGCGCCTTTATTTTGCGCTGCCTATTTGAAGGTAACGCAGACGTGTGGTGCCACAGAGACGCCACGCGAATGCTGCCACCTGACTGGCCATGCAATGCTCAAGGTTTGGCAAAATATGGTCTTTGAATTATGTGTGTCTGGCGCACGCGAGCACAACTCGTGGCTTCAACGGGCAGCAGTTGGCCGTGAACCAATAAAATGCGTTGAGCTTAAGTTTACAACACGAATCACATTTTGTACTACAGAGGACAGGAATTATAGCGACGCAACCGAAAATGTGAATGCAAGGATCTGGAATCCAAAGCAGTCTTTTACATTTAAAAGCAGACCAATATTCATCAGCAAGTTTGGCTCATCATATTTAATGCTTCCCTGAATATCCCAAAATGTCGAGCATTCCGTTCAAGCTTGCATAGCGTCATGCCTGCCAAAATCCTGCATACGGTGCCAAGTATACATACGGGCGTTTATTTTGGAGCCCATTTTGCCTACTCATTTTCGTAGGGTGCTCGTTGTGGTGCGTGCCGGGTGCAGTGCGTCAGGGGCCGAGGTCAGAGTGGCTGCAGTGGGGGCCGGTGAGGGTGTGACGGGTGCAGCGGGGGCGGCTGTGGGTGTGACGGGTGCAGCGGGGGCAGGTGTGGGTGTGACGGGTGCAGCGGGGGCGGCTGTGGGTGTGACGAGTGCAGCGGGGGCGGGTGTGGGTGTGACGGGTGCAGCGGGGCAGCTGTGGGTGTAACGGGCGCAGCGGGGCGGGCGTGGGTGTGACGGGCGCAGCGGGGACGGCTGTGGGTGTGACGGGTGCAGCGGGGGCAGCTGTGGATGTGACGGGTGCAGCAGGGCAGGTGTGGGTGTGACGGGTGCAGCAGGGGTGGGTGTGGGTGTGACGGGTGCAGCGGGGGCGGCTGTGGGTGTGACGGGTGCAGCAGGGGCAGGTGTGGGTGTGACGGGTGCAGCGGGGGCGGCTGTGGGTGTTACGGGCACACTCGGTGGCGGCGATTTTCAGCCGAGGCCGATCTTTGAGCGTAGGTGCAAACGTTTCAGTGGAGCTCGGACGACAACGCCTGGGTCTACGGAGACGGCACGAGCTTCACCGACTCGGACTACCAGAACTTCGGCGCCGGCGAGCCCACCATTGCAGCAGACGGCAGTAGCCCGCCGGCGAGCTACCAGGGCAGCAAGTGCATCTATATGAAGGCAGACCTGGCCTGGTTCTGGGAGTCGTGTGCCCCCAGCAGCTTGGGCGATGCCATCTCGTACGCGTGGTTCCCCTGTGAGGTCAAAGGTCAGTGACCTCAGTGCGTGCCTATAGCTGGCCGACGAGCTTCCAGTATCTCCAAACTGAGTAGAGAAAAAGGTTAAAACAGACGAGTTTTCTCGGAATGAGGTGATCTGAGATGTCAGCATCGAAGCTGGGCGACAGCCTGGCTTCAGGCAGTCAACAAACGGATGATAAAGTCGATGGTATCTGAGCGCACTGAAGATGAGCTAGCCTAGCAAGTGCCATCTCTGGCCTCCAGTGACGGTTCGAGATCTGTAAAATCCAGTGCAGCGTCGGGATGACTCACTTGCGACTACGAGGATTGCTTTCCCGTCGGCCAGCATGGGCCTGCATGCACATATAACACGCCGCTCCTCAGGTCTGACCTCGTACGTCCTGGTGTGACGCCGCAGGGACGCTGATGGAGCACGGAGAGGTGCAGGAGGCGTGCCGCCAGGCCGACCACACCGCTCTGGAGAGCCGGGGCTTCCAGCTGCTCAACACGATACCCACCAAGCTGGCCGGCCACTACACCCTTTCCCACGTCAGTGAATTCACTATGATGGACTTGTGTGCGTGAGAGTGACCCGGACATGCGCTGGCGCACGTACCAGCCCCGTCTGGGTATCCGGACATTCTCTGGCGCACGTACTAGCGCCGTCTGGATGTCTGGACATGCTCTGGCACACGTACTAGCGCCGTCTGGATGTCTGGATATGCTCTGGCGCACGTACTAGCGCCGTCTGGATGTCTGGACATGCTCTGGCACACGTACTGGCGCCGTCTGGATGTCTGGATATGCTCTGGCGCACGTACTAGCGCCGTCTGGATGTCTGGACATGCTCTGGCACACGTACTAGCGCCGTCTGGATGTCTGGATATGCTCTGGCACACGTACTAGCGCCGTCTGGATGTCTGGACATGCTCTGGCACACGTACTAGCCCCGTCTGGGTATCCGGACATTCTCTGGCGCACGTACTAGCGCCGTCTGGATGTCTGGACATGCTCTGGCACACGTACTAGCGCCGTCTGGATGTCTGGATATGCTCTGGCACACGTACTAGCGCCGTCTGGATGTCTGGACATGCTCTGGCACACGTACTGGCGCCGTCTGGATGTCTGGATATGCTCTGGCGCACGTACTAGCGCCGTCTGCATGTCTGGACATGCTCTGGTGCACGTACTAGCGCCGTCTGGATGTCCGGACATGCTCTGGTGCACGTACTAGCGCCGTCTGGATGTCCGGACACGTGCTTGACCGGAATTCTGGCGCCTGTATGCTCTGCTTCTCAAATTTTGCTGAATTCATATCGGCTTGCTTACAAATACCGTCAGCATTAACTTCGGTGCCTATGAAATTCAGCTGCCTTTTCGCCAGATATTCTGCATTGTGGTATTGTACTTGACAGGCCTATAAGAAGAACACCAGGGTGGCGTTCCAGTTCTGCCAGATAAAGACACAGTGCTTCCGCAACGGTAACGGGAACGTTCAGTGCTCGCCGTACAACGCTGTCTGGCACACCAGAGAAGGTAAGCCTGCCTGGCCGCTGTCATGACTGCTGGTTTGTCGGTGACAGATGCCGGCATGTGTCACTTGACAGATGTCAGCCTAATGTCTCCCGGCTGATACTGACCTGGGACTGTGGCTTGTCATTTCCTGCCAATCCCACGACAAGACCCGGAGATAACCGGGGAGAGGATTATCCCCCATGTGGTCGTTCGTGACGGAATGCACCGAGCAGAGCAGGGTGAATAGCTACTCGTCACGTGCGCTGACACGTCCGCAAATTACACGAACGTGGCGCTTGCTCGTTATTTTAGTATATAAATTGCGCGGACTGGAAACCGTTGCGCGGTTAACCATATGGGAGATGCGCCGCATTTCGTGCAGAAGATCTCCGGTTGGTGTCCAGGTCCGGAGAGGAACACGCTATTATCTGACTGCGTCTGGCCTTGGCCTGAGTATGGTACGGGCAGTACGGGCTGCATCAGCTCCTTCCTCACCATCGCGTCGTCTGGCACGTCACGCGCCGTTTGTGGTGGTGACGTCTGGCACGTCACGTGCCGTTTGTGGTGGTGACTGGCTGGTGCCGGCCAGGTGTACATGGCTCTGATCTTAGATAAGATAGTAGTGTTAGCCTTATTCCTCGGGGAGAACCAGGGGAATGGAGATATGGTTGGGTTGATATTTCGGCAACGTGCCTTGATCGAAACAATAGCAGAAGATAACAAATTTTCACAACTTCAAGCTTGTGCAAATTTGAACCGTGGCTTCTGCTAAACCAAAACGAACCCTGACTTCTGCTATTGTTTCGATTAAAGCATGTTGCCGAAGTATCAACCCAACTGTATTTCGATTCTCCTGGTTTTCACCGAGGAACAAAGCTAATACTACTGTCTTATCTATGCGAATGTTCTTCGTCGCTAATGCGCTGAATAGCTCACGTAACTCTGATCTTATTAACACTCGCGACGGTCCTCCTCTCCTGTCAGACGGTCCTCCTCTCCTGTCTCCTTTCCTGTCAGCAACACTGCAGAAAGGAATCAATACGCGCAACGCTTGCAGAGGAGGTTGACGAGCGAAGGATTGCTCCCACGCGTGAGAACCAGCTGACACCAATGTCTGCACCTGGTGCCGGGCGTCTGTCCGCCGCCCAGTGTCGTTACGTTGACCCCTGAACCAGACCAGTCAGACCGTAACCACCGCCGTCACACCGATCCCACAACCAGGCCGTGACCGCCGCCGTCACACCGATCCCACAACCAGGCCGTGACCGCCGCCGTCACACCGATCCCACAACCAGGCCGTGACCGCTGCCGTCACACCGAGCCCACAGTCAGACCGTGACCGCCGCCGTCACACCGATCCCAAAGCCAGGCCGTTACAGCCGCCGTCCCTGCAGGTGTCCTCAGCTGCCCAGACGGTTTCGTCAACATCATGGACAGCTGCGTGGCGCGCACGACCACGGCGACGACGTATGCCAACGGCGATGATCTGTGCGCCGCCTTGATGGGCACGCCGCTCACCGCGCGCACGCCGCGCGAGCTCAACTTCGTCAAGCAGTACCTGTCCGCGCTGGGCCTCAACCAGACCATCTACACGGGGTTTCAGCGGCAGGACGACACCTTCCTCGACCGCGACGGCGAGCCCATGGTGAGACGGATCTGCCGACCTCGGCCACGATCGGCAAACCGCTCGCGTCGGGCCGGGTTACGTCGCTTCTATCGAAATTGGTTGGCTCGATTCAGTTGGGCGTTGAGTTGACGACGATACTGTGTTGGTCATGAGACCTGTGAGAGACTGAAGCTTTTAGTTTCATTTCATACATAGATATTCTTGGGGTTGTCTAGTAAGTCAAGGCTTTCGGAACTTGAGCAAACGGGTGCTCTTCACATTGTTTCCAAAGGTCTCTCTTCCGAGAGACACGGGTGCTGGAGGCGGTGACGTCCTGGGGCGGTGACGTCCCGGGGGTGGTGACGTCCCGGGGGTGGTGATGTCTCGAGGGCGGTAACGTCCCGGGGGTGGTGATGTCTCGAGGGTGGTGACGTCCCGGGGGTGGTGATGTCTCGAGGGTGGTGACGTCCCGGGGGTGGTGATGTCTCGAGGGCGGTAACGTCCCGGGGGTGGTGATGTCTCGAGGGTGGTGACGTCCCAGGGCCGGTGATGTCTCGAGGGTGGTGAAGTCCCGGGGGTGGTGATGTCTCGAGTGTGGTGACGTCCCGTGGTGGCGATGTCTCGAGGGTGGTGACGTCCCGGGGGTGGCGATGTCTCGAGGGTGGTGACGTCCCGGGGTGGTGATGTCTCGAGGGTGGTGACGTCCCGGGGTGGCGATGTCTCCAGGGGCGGTGACGTCCCGGGGCGGTGATGTCTCGAGGGTGGTGACGTCCCGGGGGCGGTGATGTCTCGAGGGTGGTGACGTCCCGGGGGTGGTGATGTCTCGAGGGTGGTGACGTCCCGGGGGTGGTGATGTCTCGAGGGTGGTGACGTCCCGGGGGCGGTGATGTCTCGGGGGCGGTGACGTCCCAGGGGTGGCGATGTCTCGAGGGTGGTGACGTCCGGGGGCGGTGATGTCTCGAGGGTGGTGACGTCCCGGGGGTGGCGATGTCTCGAGGGTGGTGACGTCCCGGGGGCGGTGATGTCTCGAGGGCAGTAACGTCCCGGGGTGGTGATGTCTCGAGGGCGGTGACGTCCCGGGGGTGGTGATGTCTCGAGGGCGGTAACGTCCGGGGGCGGTGACGTCCCGGGGGTGGTGATGTCTCGAGGGTGGTGACGTCCTGGGTCGGTGACGTCCCGGGGGTGGTGATGTCTCGAGGGTGGTGACGTCCTGGGTCGGTGACGTCCCGGGGGTGGTGACGTCCTGGGTCGGTGACGTCCCGGGGGTGGTGATGTCTCGAGGGTGGTGACGTCCTGGGTCGGTGACGTCCCGGGGGTGGTGACGTCCCGGGGGTGGTGATGTCTCGAGGGCGGTAACGTCCCGGGGGTGGTGATGTCTCGAGGGTGGTGACGTCCCGGGGCCGGTAATGTCTCGAGGGTGGTGACGTCCCGGGGGTGGTGATGTCTCGAGTGTGGTGACGTCCCGGTGGTGGTGATGTCTCGAGGGCGGTAACGTCCCGGGGGTGGTGATGTCTCGGGGGCGGTGACGTCCCTCTCCCGCGCCGCCCGACACCCCTGCCACCGTGCCGCCGCAGACGGCTGAGTGGGACCGGCTGTGGGCGCCCGGGGAGCCGGCCACCGACGGCGACTGCGCCGTCATGGACGTGGAGAGCGGCTTCCTGCTGCGGAGCGGCACCTGCGACCAGCAGCTGCCGACGCTCTGCAGTGCCATCGGTGAGCGGCCGCCAGGGTGGCGGTGCCGCCGGCGGTCCGGTGGTCCGGTGGGCCGGTGGCCATCGACGGTCTGGTCACGTGTCCTCGGACGCGGGAACTGGCGGACTCGATCGGGATCGTCGGCTCGATTCGGGCCTCGATCCGGCTCGAGCGATCATTGCCAGACGAGGGCTCTGTTAGTTAACAGTCACAGCAATTGCTCATCATAGGTGTATGCGCTGGCTATCAGGTGTCTGTCAGCATCGGCCCATCATGTGCGGTACTGGCCCAATGTTCTGTACTCTGTGGGGCCTTTGGTCGCGTCTCATAGTGTTTTCTGGCTGATCTACGCCCTGTGAGCTCGTGTTGATGGTAGATGGCCTGCGAACTCCGCCCGCTGTACGCACGGATAAAACACAGCTTTACATAACCTGTTTCTTTCCTTGGGTTTGCTGGTCCTTTCATGGGAACATCAACACCGATATTCAGCATTGTAGCTGGGCGAGTGCACTGCATTGCGTCTTCGTTTTCAGAGCCTTCAAACTGTCCGTCGGATTTCACCTACCAGCGGGATTTTTACAACTGTTTCCACTTCCACTCCAACGCCAGCCGCTCTTGGGACCATGTGGCGGCCAGCGAGGTGAGCTGCCTCTAGCCAACGCCTTCGTCAGCATTCTGAGCTCACAACTCTTATGCTGAGAGCTATCGGCCTTCAGTATCGCAAGGGGTGCTAGTTTAAAGGTGTCATCAAGCAAACATGGGTTATGTCGCTCTGCACATCCTTTTCAGCACCTGGTCCTTTCTCAGCACTCAAAATGGTTAACTTTCCATTCCGCAGAACACAGCTGTCGTCTCAGCTTTCAGAACACAGAATACTTAAAATGACAAGGATGCCTCGCGTAAACGGGCCTCGTCGGAGGCGCCCTGCCCAGCCACGGACTCGATTCTTTGGTGAATAAGCAAAGCCCGAACTGCCACAGAAGGTTCGGTCGTGCTTTGTGTGCACGGAAGGATAAGTTTACGGCACCACCACAGATCACAACATCGCTGTGCTTCAGTACTGCCGCAGCAAGAACTCGTGGCTGGCGGTGCCGGCGAACCAAGCACAGGTCGACGCCATAGTCAGTCTCATGAAGCAAACCAACATGGCGGACTACGGGGTGAGAAATGTCGTGCGATCCACAGTCAGTCCGCTGTCTCTTCTGGCCTGTTAGGGCTAAGGTGGATGAAAGATGGGGAAGGCGAGGAGGGTGGGGGATAGACCAAACGTGGCAGACATGGCAATCTGACGCTTGAACGCACGATTGCCAAAATATAAGATATGTACAAATAGGCAGCCCTCCATGCTCTTTCTGTCTTCTGCCTCTCTGCCTCTCTCTCTCTCTCTCTCTCTCTCTCTCTCTCTCTCTCTCTCTCTCTCTCTCTCTCTCTCTCTCTCTCTCTCTCTCTCTCTCTCTCTCTTCCTCCCCCTGTCTCTCTCTCTTTCTTTCTCGCTATTTCTATCTAGCCTTGGAAATAGTACGATCCCGTGCATTGTTCGTTCGTAATTCAGATATACCGTAATGAGATAAACTGTCGCAGATTGAAAATCAAGTGGTCACTGGATCGCTCGGAGCGGTGCACTCTGCCATCGACCGCTTCAACAAGCCCTACTCGCTGACCATCAACAACATCAGGTGGGACTGATCAGTCCTAAGAGGGACACAGCAAATCCCGTGCTGCAGATGGTGCAGACGCCAATGCAATTCCTTCCCCCAAACATGCGTCAGTGAAGGCGTTTTGTGTGCAATGTGCGTACATCACCTGCCATCCGGCGTATACACAACGCTGTATGCGACACATGTGCAGTATGTACCTGCTGAATGCTTCCTCAGTAAATGTTTTTACAACACGTATGTGTGAAGGTTTGTTTCGTACAATCTGCGCATAAAACAGATGCGACAGTTGCCGCGTATTACTCACACACAGTTCTTCACAGCGAGGGGCCTCCCGTAAGTGGTGCACCTGCGATGTGTTACGATACACTTACAGACGTGCCTCTTTGGAGCACTGCTGAGAGCTCGTCCACACTCACAATCCGTTTCAAAAGTCAACCGTAAGAAAGCCTGCCAAGATTTTTCAAAAAAGTCTGTTAACATCTGTCACCAAGTGCTCACGTCCCCACAAACCGTAATGCGACGTTCGAATTGCCACGGACTGAGACTGCCGCTGGGTACGTCCCAGACTGCCGCTGGGTACGTCCCCGGCTGCCCCCGCTGGCGGGACCGGCGGTACATTCATCCGCGCCGGTCTGATCACCCCACGGCCGGTCTGATCACCCCACGTCACCCCGCGCCGGTCTGATCACCCCACGATCACCCCGCGCCGGTCTGATCACCCACGATCACCCCACGGCCGGTCTGATCACCCCACGATCACCCCACGGCCGGTCTGATCACCCCACGATCACCCCACGGCCGGTCTGATCACCCCACGTCACCCCCCGCCGGTCTGATCACCCCACGATCACCCCGCGCCGGTTGATCACCCACGTCACCCACGCCGTTGATCACCCCCGTCAACGCCGGTCGCAGCGAACGCCGTTGTTACCCCCCGCCCGGCGTTGATCACCCCACGACACCCCGCGCCGGTCTGATCACCCCACAGACACATGGCTGGTCGCAGCGAACCCTTTGTGGCGTTACGCTATATGCCAGCATCGTCTCCATCCAGGTCGAGGCGCGGTCATGCGTCTCGAATTCGAAAGATGTGAAAAGTAACACCTTCGTGATGGTGTGATGGATATATTGTTGTGCGATGCCTTGCCCGTCACAGGAGTGTATTTTTCTGTTCGGTTAGGGGGGGGGGGGCAGGCTTCAGTCGACTCCTCCCCAATGCCGCTCTGCCCTAGCCAACTTTCAGAGAAAATACGCCAAATCCGGGTACAACTTGCTCGCTGGCATATGCTGGGGTGAGCTGAGTCATCTTTCTCCGTTCAGCAACCCAGTTCACTTTGCGAAGCGACGCCCCGGCACGTCATGTGGTGCATCGCGTAATAACATCGCCTTTCACCATGAGACGACACGTGAGCCGATCTTTGTTTCAGCCCCAAGCCGTCCCCTTCCACATGGGACGTCTTCGCTTTACCCCAATATACGCTCCAAGCCGACACAGGCTGCACCATCGTGCAGCTCAGCTCCAGCTCCGTGGCGTCCAGATCCTGCAGCAACGCCTCGCCCGCCGTCCACAACCCCATCTGCCAGTTCCACGGTGAGTGGTCTGTCCCTCCTGCTGACGGGAGTCAGCGAGCTAAGCGCGAGAACGCCACGCCCTTTGCTCGCGTGGTCAGCACCCATCGGAAGATCGCACCAATTGTATCGCGCTGCGACGATCCCTCGCTTCAAAACCCTGACTTGCGATGCGTTTCGTCAAAATCATTTTGCGCCGACAGTCCTGCGGATCCGACATCCGGCTCCTGCCCTCGGCTGAGACTGCCGAGCCCCAAGCCCCGTCGGCTCCCGTCCTCGGCTGAGACTCTGCCGAACCCTGGACCCCGTCCGCTCCTGTCCTTGGCTGGGACTCTGCCGACCTCTGGACCCCGTCCGCTCCTGTCCTCGGCTGAGACTCTGCCGAGCCCTGGACCCCGTCCGCTCCTGTCCTCGGCTGGGACTCTGCCGAGCCCTGGACCCCGTCCGCTCCTGTCCTCGGCTGAGACTCTGTCGATCTCCGTCCGCTTCTGTCCCCGGCTGAGACTCTGCCGAGCCCCGGACCCCGTCCGCTCCTGTCCTTGGCTGAGGCTCTGCCAAGCCGCGGACCCCGTCCGCTCCTGTCCTCGGCTGAGACTCTGCCGAGCCCCGGACCCCGTCCGCTCCTGTCCTCAGCTGAGACTCTGCCGAGCCCCGGACCCCGTCCGCTCCTGTCCTCGGCTGAGACCTTGCCGAGCCCTGGACCCCGTCCGCTCCGGCAGCGAGCCGGGTCGGCCCTCGCCGGGCCCTGAGACGCCCGCCTGCTCGGCGTGCGCTGACCGCCGCACGTCTTCGCCGCGCAGCCTGTTACCGCGCCGGCGATGGACGGCAGGAGTGCGTGTTCCCGTTCACGTACAAGGGCCGCCGGTACGGCCAGTGTACGACCGTGGACGGCACCAACGGCACGGCCTGGTGCCCCACCCAGCTGACCGATGGCGTCACGCGCCGGGAGCCGGGCACCTTCGTCACCTGCATGTCCTCATGTCCCGGTGAGTCAGCACAGCTGTCGCCTGCAGTTCCTCTTGTCCGGTGAGTTGACACATACGCACACACCTGTGCACCATTGGCGTATTCTTTCTCACAGAATCCTCTATCCTATCTCAGGGCAGAAAAGAGAGTGGACAAGTATTTTGCTCACTACCATGGTCCCGCGTGCGCTCCATTGCTCTCACGAAGTGGGGGAGATATCAATTGTGATTATCCACCCTACCCTTGCTCTTCGGCCTTGATCCTGCGATTTCACAACGCGTCGCATGATGACGCTTGCGCAGCAGGTGACGTCACACGCTGACGTCACAGCTGACGCCACATATGACGTCACATCCTGGCGTCACAACTGACGCCGCAGGAGACGTCAGGATTCAAGTTCCTCGTGACAAATGGATTGCAATAACTGGAATGACCCCGACAGCTGACCTCACCGCTGTTGTTTGGGTGGCTTGTCGGGCGCACAAGGCTGCCGGGTGGTCTATGGCGCAGACACAGAGCGAGGGGTGGCGCAGTGACCGCTCCCTGTGTCAGACGGCTCGCGTTCGGTGGACGGCCGATCCAGCGCCTGTCGCCTGTTCATTGCGGTATGTTCGGGCTCTGCCTTTTTTGCCGTTTGCGTGGATAGGAGAAAGGTCGTTTGCAATGGCTTATAAGGGTGGACACGTTCGTTTGTGGACTGAAGCGTTCCCTTCTTGGTGAGATCACTTACCGACATGATGTTGTCATCACTGAATATCAGGATGTCTGTGTGATGGGATGCGTCGCACTGTCCCCTGCTGTGATGTCCTGACTTCCAGCTTCTGCGACACCATACTCTCCGCCCGCAGCGATGTCATCATGTCCGCGTGATGTCCTGCCATGATGTCCGCGTGATGTCCTGCCATGATGTCCGCGTGATGTCCCTGCCATGATGTCCGCGTGATGTCCTGCCATGATGTCCGCGTGATGTCCTGCCATGATGTCCGCGTGATGTCCTGCCATGATGTCCGCGTGATGTCCTGCCATGATGTCCGCGTGATGTCCTGCCATGATGTCCGCGTGATGTCCTGCCATGATGTCCTGCGTGGTGTCCTGCCATGATGTCCACGTGATGTCCTGCCATGACATCTGTGTTACTCGGCCTGATTGGCGGACTGACCTGGACACGCGGCGCCGACAGCGACGGTGTGTCCTCTGGGCTTCATCGAGCTGGAGCGAGACGAGCTGGAGACGCCGCTCTGCCTGCTGGGCACGAGCCTCTCTCTGCCGGAGCAGGCGCAGCTGACGCCCGCCGACCAGCAGGACTTCTGCGCCGAGAGGGGCACACGTCTGCTCACGCTCACCACTCTGTTCCACCACAAGACCTATTGGGACCTGGTGGAGTCAGCCTTGACTGACGTGAGCGGGAGGTGTGCCTGGGTGGGCCGCTGCTCTGCAGGACAGTGCGTGCTGATCGACGTCGCCTAGCGCCGGCTGTTCACCTGGTGATTTAGTTCTACGACGTAGTGGATGTCGTGAATGACGTTTCCGTGAGCCGGCGTTGATGCCCGGTCCGTCTCGCCTACAGATGAAAACCGTCAAAGTGGCCGTGGACGGCATCTACGAGCAGGACGACACGCCGTACGCCATGTTCACGTCCGGGCGCTTTATGCCTGAGTACCTGCTGGATGAGATCACAACCGACTTCGACGCCAGCTTGTTCACCGCCAACAGTTCGACGACTTGTCTGGTGGTGAGAGGTGCTTCTGCGAGGCATCAATAGTAGCCTCTGCGCTGGGGTCCTGATGCGTTCGTAGCTCCTTCTGCCTGATGGGCCCGCGCTGCTTCCTTGAAGTCGTCCGCTTTGATTGTCCAAGGCTCTCCAGTGACCACCCGCGTCAAACAGGGTGGGCGCGCTTCCTTGATTGGAATGCATTTGACTTGTGAAATCTTTGAGATTTGAACCTGTGGAATAATCGCTAGCATTCGGTAGCTTATAAACAGAATACTCGGTAGACCCATGTGCGTGGTAGTTTACCGCATGTGCTCCTTATTCTGGTGGTGTCCTCGCTGGCAACCGCTTGTTCTCTTCGTTGCGATCTGAGTGACCTTTATGGTTGTAAAGTAGGTCAGAACGGAGAGTATAAGTACGAGTGCGGTGAACTGAGCCCTTCCGCGTCCCGTGCTAAAGCCAAACTTTGCAGACAAAGTGCAAAGAAATGAGCTACGGAAAGTAAATGGAGAAACGGGCAGTGAAAGGAAATAGTAGATTAGTATTGCTATGGTGCAGCAGGTTTCATCTCCCCAGACTACAATCAGAATGCTGCTGACGAACTACGCCAGAAAAGACAAGTGGCTTATTAAAATGACTGCTTCGCCATATCGGAGCGTGGTTCCACAAGCTTCTGCTTCGCACGTGTGTAAATAGGGAATGTTAATCGACGAGCTCGACGTAAATGCTGAGCAAAGGACATATCGATCAGGGCTAGATGGGACCAGAGGTTTTTATCGTCACCACCATGCATGATTGATTTTGGTGCACTGTGCAGTGCAGAGTAACACTCATTCACGCACGGTGTCGATGATCGCTCGAACCGGTTGTGGGAACGAGGCCTGCACCTGCATACCAATATGAGAATCACAATTTAGTGAAACTGCAGTCTTTCACTTCTGTTGTAGACCATCATGAACATATAAAACATGGAAAACACACGCGAATGATGCACACATTCCCTTTCAGATGGTCGATGACGTGCTGAAGAATGCGCCATGTGACTCTGGAACCGCCCTCCACATCTGTGAAGCCAACGGTAAGACCCAGCATGTACTCAGCTCCGTTGTTGTAGGCAGACGCCCCGAGCGGTACCCGACCTTTCCGAGCGGTACCTGCCCTTCCCGAGCGGTACCTGACCTGCCAGAGGGGTACCTCAGAGCTCTGATAACCGAGCCGGGTACCTGAACCTTGTTGACACCCAGGGGACTGTGCGCGACACATGGCATCATCCATGGTGCCTCATTGACTACGCAACACCTATAATCGTCGCGGCGGCAGACACGCAGCCAGTACCGGAGAAGTGAAAGCAGACCAGTGGCGACATCGTCGGCCTTACGGCGCATCTCCCCATCGCATCGGTATCTCTGACGAGATTACAAGACAGATGGGGGTGGAATGCGGGTCTGCCACTCTGCTCACCGTCGTACTCCGCGCCGCGTTATTCAGCGGCAGCGTCGGTCCGCCCGCTCCGCAGCCTTCAGCACACAGTCTGTCCCTGATCACCGGCATCCGCCCAGTCCGCGTATGTCGTGTGCTTGAGCTTCCGTACTCGGTTCCAATGTGAGCCACACAGTCCTGGGGTCGCTCTCCGTGCACGTGAGCCCCTGTACTCGGTCCCACAGCGAACCACACAGTCCTCGGGTCCCTCCCCGTACATCTGAGGCCCTGCGCTCGGTCCCACAGTGAACCACAAAGTCCTCGGGTCCCTCCCCGTACATCTGAGGCCCTGTGCTACGACCCCGCAGTGGACTACACGGAGTCTGGACCGGTGCCAGACGCCCTCTGCCACTTCCCGTTCGAGTACGAGGACTCGCAGTACACCAGCTGCGTGTACGACCCGAAGCGGGGCAGACCATGGTGCGCCACGGCCGTGACAGAGGACGGAAAGGTCGACGGAAACAACTGGGGCTACTGTCGTGACGACAGTGAGTAGCGCCACCGGAGAGAGACAGTTACTTGTCTTCTTTTGTGAAAGGAGTGAACAGACTGCTGTAATAACGCTGGACAGCCACAAGCATGATGGCGTTGAGTGCATGGATGTCGGGGACGCCTCACCGTCATGAACTTGAGTGTTTGTCTCCTGCAACCTCCCGTAGCGATGTTGTGGACGGAGTCGTTACATTCCCTCTCGACGACAGCGAACACACGCCTCCGCCTGTGGTTGGGATCGGCCGCCGTTGACGGACCGCGTTGACCCTGACCTCTGACCCTGACCCGGCTGACCCCAGGGCGGCTGACGGTAGCTGGCCCGGGCGCCCCGAGCCCCTGCCAGCTGCCATTCATCGTCGGCGAGACGCTGTATGAGAACTGCACGAGCTTGGAGGGTGTGACGGCGCCAGACTCGGCCGGCAAGCTCTGGTGCAGCACGAGCAACGACGTCAACGGCGTGATGCTGGACAGCAGCAGCTGGGGCTGGTGCGCGGACGACTTCTGGCCGCCGGGTGAGACGCAGGGCCGCTGGGCTGGCCTGCCTGGCGGCTTCACTGCCCGGCGCTGGGGCCGTCCAGGCGTGGCTTGCATGAAACGCCACTCCGGCCCAGGCGCTGACGAGTGGCTTCCGGAGGCCACGCCGACGAGCGCGGACGTCGATGACCGCGCGGCTAGTGGGCAGAGGTCCAGCTAGCCGCGCAGTCAGAGGAGACCTCGCACCTGCCGGGTGACAGACGGATCTCGTCGTTCCGAGTCGTGTCCGGCGCCCGGCAGTGGCAGTGGGACGTCTGGCTGGTTTCCGTTGCGATAAGCTAAACGGAGACGTCTGCATGCAGACATAACCACAGCGAGTCCACTTAAACCGTCGCTCCGCTCACACCCGCTCGTCTGGTGCACTGCTGCAGGATACGGCGTCTGCCAGCCGCCGTTCTACGGTGAAGAGATCACCGACTGTCAGTACATGCACCACATAATCAGCAGCAACCACAGCGAGGCCGAGGACTTTTGCAGCAGTCGCGGCTCCTCCCTGGCCAATCCAATCACTGAAGACCTGCAGGTGGGTGACACGCGGCTGCTGCGGGTGCGGCCGCTCCCACGGCTCGCTGGCTGATGAGGGCGCGGCCGCTCCTACGGCACGCTGGCTGATGAGGGCGCGGCCGCTCTCACGGCACGCTGGCTGATGAGGGCGCGGCCGCTCCCACAGCACGCTGGCTGATGAGGGCGCGGCCGCTCCCACGGCACGCTGGCTGATGAGAACCGCGCTACACGGACCAAACAGTGATGCTGCGGCCGCGGTGGGCGCAGAAGTCTGAACCTGGCCACGTCCGGCTGGACGGCAGTTGCTCGGGAACACAGAGCTGGCCCGGGGCTGAACCATTTGCCGAGTTGGGCGGTGGCATTCGAGACCGCTGTAGCCTTTCCGAGCGGCTTGCAGGAGGAACGTTCACAGAGTGAATTGCCAGGTGACAGCGTTGTAAAGCTGAATGCGCTGGTTAACATCTAGCGGTCGTATGAAGGGCTTTCACTTTGTGTGCGTCGCTTCAAAAGGACGTTGAGGAGGAAAGCCGCTTGTAACGTCCAGCCTGTAGCGTTGGGATGGAGGGGCCTAAGTTGTTACATACTGCACTGAAGTCCTCCTGCAGCCATTTTTGTAGGATGCCACTGGTGATGTTCCTTACAGCTTCTCGTGTGGATATGTGACGCCCTGTACCTGTGTGCATTTATTGGCTTTAAATCGGATTTTGAAATTTGTTTGAATCTGAAACCCTGACATTTGGGGTCTCCACTAGAAGGAGAACTGATGACAGTCAAAACGAGAACGTTGAAAGCTGCCATGATCCCGGCTGATTTTCTTTTGTGTTGTTAAAGAAAAACCGTAAATACGTTGCTCCAGTTGCACAATAATGTCTAAATATCATGCTCACAGTTACATCACAAATCTGCAACTGCGGTAAATTTACTCAAATGAATGACCATAGATTCTATGCTTGGTAACAAAGGGCACCTTTTCCAGGAACAAATAGAAGTATTTCTCCATCAGAAGCAAAACAAGACGTATTTCCCCAACTTCGACTTTGTCCGAACTAACGCTTACCAAGACGGAGAAAGCTGGAAGTGGATGGACAAAACTGAAGTGCCTTTTGGTGCGCTTTGTGAATTGTGCTGCCAAACATGTTTCTTTCTTAAAGCGATCCAAACCTTCTGAAAACAATGATCAAAGAGAGCCTAGTTCTCACGAGATCGAATCTGACATGTTTCGGAAGCTTTCACGGTGTCATTATGGCAATGAAAGCGGAAGCGTCTAGTTTGCTGGCTCCTGCACAGTGTACATAGCGACCCACCAACGCCTGCGCTCTCTTCACCTCTGCGCCGCAGACTACACCAACTGGGCGGCCGGCGTGGATGCCTCGACAGCGGGCTGCGTCTTCTTGGACGTGCGAACGCAGAGGCCGTTCCAGTGGGTGATCCTGCCGTGCAGCACACCCGCTTACACATCGTGCCGCAAGCTCTGTCCGTGGGGCTATCACCTGTTCGAAGGTGAGGCTGTGATTCCGCCGAAAACGGCGACAGGTATGTTGCAGGTAAGTGTTGGGTGACACACGGAATACACCTGCCATTGGTGACTGGTGAGCAATTAATAAACGCACCATCCTGTGATAAGAAGCAGATGCTTGGCAGGCAGGAGTTTCTGAAGCAGCTTGCGCTCAGTTGGACTGATTAGAATCTGCCGATGAATGCAAACGCCGTTTGGTGCGGCTTCGCACAGCAAAGCTACACAGGGCTATTAGCGGCCCGGGCTTCTGACCAAGCCTCTGTCAAAGCGCGTCGTTAACAGTCCAGCCGGTCTTGTGGCCGTCACTGTCACGTCACTGTCACACACACGTCACACACACACATTCTGAGCCCCTCGTCACCGCCGGACGACGTTCCTGCCTGTCGTGAACGTGACTTAGTGACCTCTGCCGACCCTTGCTGGCCCATGCTGCCCTCTCCGCTGAGCCCTGCTGGCCCATGTTCACCCCTGCTCGCCCCTGGTGACCCCTGCTGACCCATGCTAACCACTGATGACCCCGTCCGGCCCATGCTGACCGCCGCTGACCCCTGCTGACCCATTCTCACCCCTGCTGACCCTTGCTGACCCCTGCTGACGCCTACATACCCCAGACCGATGTCTGGGCATCGACCTGGACGACAAAGTGACCTTCACTCGGGCCGAGGCACGCTGCGCGGCCCGAGGCGAGGACCTCATGAGCTTCTCCAGCAACGACACCTTGAACGAGTTTCTCCAGTGGCTGCCCAACCACCTGCCGATCGACTCCCAGTACTACGTGGGCATGGTGTCGTGCCGAAACGCCTTCCCGTCTATCACGCCGAGAACACTCCGGGATACCGAAGCCATGCTGTCCCCCTACTCGGTGTGAGTGGGGCGCCTTGCGGGGACGAGGAGGACGGGCGAGCGCTCGCCGGCCGGGCGGGCCCGTTGCGCAACACGTTCGGTGGAGGGCGTTCGCCGTGCGTGCCAGGCAGCTGGTAGCGAGAGCTAACTAAACGGATCGACCGGTCGCTCTGTGTCGGTTGGGTCTCAGCGGCCGTCGGTGGGAGCCATTTCCACTCGCCAGAGGTGGACGGCAGTGCCGTGTCCCAGCGCGTACGTCTGCCCGAGCACCTAGCTCCGCCCGCTGAGGCCTGTCTCCGTGACCCGTCGTCGAGTTGCGTTCGCCGCCACAGTTAACCTCGCCCTGGACTCGCGCGTTCCGTTGCAGGAGCGGAAGGCATCTGGGCTGGCTGCAGCCGAACGTGAGCTTCACGTACGAGGGTCAGTACGACTGCGCCAGCCCCAGCAAATCTGCGTGGAACTTCCGGCTGCGGCCCGACGCCGCGGTGCCGCTCACCGCCGTTGTCGAGACGGACGTGACGCCGGAGCGCTTCATCTGCTCAGGGCTTCCCAGCGGTGAGAACTGCGGGCGGAGCAGCGGCCTCGGCGAACGCGTTTGGCCGCGCGCGCCGCCCTTCGCGGCGAGGAGCGCTGCTGACGGCCGGCGCCCGGCAGCGCAGCCTCCCGAGCACGTTTCAACGCGCAAGTCGACTTAGCGGCCGGTGACCGCCACTCTGAGCGCTGCTCTCATGAGCATCTCATCATCTGCATCTCATGAGCGCCACTCTCAGACACTCGGTCTGCTGTTGGATGTCCGCACTGATTGGCGTTAGTCGCTGAGTCCCCCGGCGGATGTGGCGGTGTCTCGCTGCCCTGTGCCACCGCAGCGCGGCCGACGGACGCTGACGCAGACGCCAGCAGTAGCCTGGCACTGACACACTGACACCCACCGGCACATTGACCCTGATACAGACGCCTGATTCTGATGCTGCCATTAACACCGTCACACTGACGCCAACACCGGTGCACTGACAGCGACACAGACGCTGACGCACTGCCATTGTCACTGACACACTAATACCGGCATACTCACATTGACACTGATACATTGATACTGAAACTAACGCACTGACACTGATGCTGCCACTAACAATGACACACTGACGCCGACACTAGTGCGTGGACGACACGGACACTGCCACACTGACACCGGCATTCATAATGACACAACAGCAATGGCACACTGACATCGACACTGCCACACTGGCGTCATCACTAACACCGACACGCTGGCATCGATACTGCCACACTGACACCGACGCTAACGCACTGACACCGACACGGACGCACTGGCACTAACACGGACGCGCTGAAACCGATCCACTGACACAGACATTGATGCGCTGACACCGACACACTGACACCGACACGTGGACACCGACGCGCTGACACCGACCCACTGGCACCGACACGGACGCACTGTCACCGATATACTGACACGAACACCTTGACACCAACACGATGACATTGACACACTGACATCTACGCACTGACATCGACACGCTGACACCGACCCCCTTACGCCGATCCCCTGACACGGCCTCGCCCCCGCTCGGCAGAGGTGTCCTGTCCGGATGGCTACTTCGCTCACAGCCGCCAGTGCTACAAGTTCTCGGACGACATGGCCACGTTCCGCGAGGCGGAGCTCCGGTGCTTCGAGGAGGGCGCAGTGCTCGTCACGCCCAATCACTGGAGCCAGGTATAGCCCGCCGGCCCGCTGCCTGAGCTACGGTAAACAGAAGTGGATAGGCTTCTACTCACAATCAACCACACCAGTCAGGCTTCAGCGAGGCACGGCGCTGCTGACGAGGACGCTCAGCGAGGCACGGCGCTGCTGACGAGGACGTTCAGCGAGGCACGGCGCTGCTGACGAGGACGCTCAGCGAGGCACGGCGCTGCTGACGAGGACGTTCAGCGAGGCACGGCGCTGCTGACGAGGACGTTCAGCGAAGCACGGCGCCGCTGACGAGGACTTGTGTATCTGTTGGGACTATCGACGCTGGCCATCTTAAGTGCCACCGCTTGGCTTCAGTCGTGGTGCTTCGGACGCGATGCCACAATGATGCCCGGGTCCACTTCCTAGCCACGAAAGGGTGAAGGGAAGGAGGTGGCAGGAGGGGGAGAGCGGGGTAAGGAGTGCCAACGTCTCCTAGCCACGGAGGGGTGAAGGGAAGGAGGTGGCAGGAGGGGGAGAGCGGGGTAAGGAGTGCCAACGTCTCCTAGCCACGGAAGGGTGAAGGGAAGGAGGTGGCAGGAGGGGAAGAGCGGGGTAAGGAGTGCCAACGTCTCCTAGATACGAAGGGTGAAAGGAAGGAGGGGGTTGGAGGGGAAAAAGCGGGGTAGGGAGTGCCAACGTCTCCTAGCCACGAAAGGGTGAGGGGAAGGAGGGGGCAGGAGGGGAAGAGCGGGGTAAGGAGTGCTAACGCCTGACACATATTTTACTATTCCTTTATATACAAAGTCCTGAAAGCGTCCTCATTTTGTATAGCGGTTTCATCGGATGGTAAGGAACAACAGATTGGTAACGAGCAACGCGTGGGTAACGACACACTCGGAATCCGAGGCACGCTCTGAGCGCAGTGCCTAGTTGCAGGCCTTTGGTTCTTGTCAGCGGGTGAACCGCGGGTGCTGATCTGCGCACGGTGCTCAGCATTCTCTCGTTTTTAAAACCCTGTTTTGGTGTGTGATGCAGTATTGATCGAACTGTTTTCATCACCTGGATATGCTTCAGTGCATACCTCCCAAGGACATACTTTCTATCGGTAGCCGACTCCTGAGTTGAGTCTCTTCAAAAGGACGCGACGTAAACTAAAGAGTATGTGAGCTGTCATGCTTTTGATAATGTACCTAGAATCATCTTGCAGCCTGTGGATAGCCAGGAGCCGAAGGTTGTTGTATTTTGATCATTTTGGCATCTTTGCATCATTTGCATCGTTTTGGCACACTTGGTCCCTATGAGTTTTGCTGTATTGCCATTGTATCGTTCATCATAAAACATATATATTCTAAAGCTGAACCTTAGGCGCGCCTGGAGGGCATGTTTCCGAAAAATGGTGTCTTTTCAAACATTTTGCATGCATTCGATTTTGAGACTGAGGCGAAGGGTGTGTCGCAGTGTTCCAGCAGACTCACAGGGGATCTGACGCCGAGGGTGATGAGGGAGTTAGACGTTGTTATTGCTATTGTATATGCTATATTGCTGCTTTGTTGTATATGCTATTGAAGCTTTTCTCGCGGTGCCCAGATTTGACCATTGAAGCATGTTGAAATTTGCTTGCTGACCCACGAACAGATTTAAAGCCTTTTTCTACGCGTTTCAGGCACATTTCTTCCGCTACATGGCCATGGAGCTGAACACGGATGAAATTGAGAGGGAAAATATTTGGCTAGGAATTGACCGCATAGACGGGAAGGGGACGTCTTACATCACCTCGTTCGGTGACCGCTTCTCCCCCACTGGGTTCACCATGGCATGTAAGTAGGCACGTTAAACGGAATATTACGCATTGAAAGGTATTGAGGCAGGCATCAGATGTGATGGAAAAACTGTCTTTTTACAATCAATAAGCTTTTAAGAGTAGCAGACTGCTCTAGATAACAGCACTGGGTCACTTTGCTGGTGACCCAGTGCCTTCGCCATACCTGTCACCGCACGGACGACGATAGGAACCAGATGTCCCGCGTGCCACCGTCCCGCCGACAAGATGACCCGGACTACTAGGTGTGACCCGGAGTGTGAGCTCTGTTCGATGCCACGTGACCTCACGTGGCGCGCGAGCCTTCTGCTGACTCGTGCGATCCCCAGCGTGGCTGCTGGACGGCGACGGAGCGGCCGGCCACGACTGCATAGCCATGTCCAGCGACGAGATGGTGGCAGGGTCCGAGAGCTCGCGCTACAGATGGAAACACCAACCCTGCAGCTTGCGCGCCCACTACGCCTGCCACTACAGGGGTGCGTGGCCTGGCAGCGCCGGCCCGGGCTGCTTGCCAAGGCTCTCCGTCTGTGGCTGGAAGGCCGGCACCAGGGCCGGCCCGTGTGCTGCTCAGAGCGTTCCGAACGCCCGCAGCAGGGGCGCTTGGGCGAGGTCTGTGGACACTAACAGTCCTGGGTCTCCCACGGTGTGTGAAGCGGGCTCTGGCCTGCTATGCACTTCAAGCGCGAGCACAGGTGTGGCGTTGGCCGGGTCCGCCTGGAATGCCAGCCGTATGGGCCGGCTCGTATGTAACACGAATGCTATTTATGTCATCGGTACAATGTAAGTGCAACGAGTGCAATGGGTCAGTGTTTTCAGTGCAGATGTTAGTTGCGATCGATCACCATTTCTGTTCGTGAATTTCAGGACGTGAGATCAACAATAGGATCTGTCCAAAAAGCTTTCCAATGTTCCACAAGAGCCGCTGCTTCCGACTGGTCAACGAAACCATGACATTTGTCCAGGCGGAGGTAAGTGAAGGCAGCCGACATTCACAACGATGTGCCCGATAGATGCGAACGATGCGAACGATAAAATCCGCCCAAGAAAACCTTCTTATCCCGATGGCGTGTTTTCCTTTTGGCACTGTTCAACGAGCTTCAGTGGCAATATCTTCTGGCTTCAAGGTGCATTAAATGAATTTCGGTGAAAGTGAGACCTGATCTTAAGCTGCGTATAAGGCTTTTCGTCTGAGCCGGTCTGCCAACTCTTCACGATTTCTCATTGCCATGGACGCAAGAAGTTCCCCATTTATGTGGTCGCGTGAATTCGGAGTATGTACATGCAAACAACCACGTCATTGACCTCCCTTTGTGACTGTGTCTATGCGGTGGGATGGCGTGTCTGTACGTGGATGAGTGTCTCTCTGCAGGCATGATATCTCTTGCTGTACCTTTACCTGAAGACTGTCACTTTCGACTGCAACTGAGCTCATTTTAGTACCGTCAACAGTCAGCAAAACACCCCGAACGTGAGCAGACCTCAAAGCATAGTCTACATGTCTTCCGCGCTCATTTTCCCATGGTAGTCCTCAGTTGAATTGAACTCTGAAGTTTGCACTGATGTTGTAGTTCCGTCCAACGAGTATTGTCAGACTGGGCCCATGTGGGGACCACCCCTGATGGTGTCAGCCGCCGACTGGGTCCGTGTGGGGACTACCCCTGATGGTGTCAGCCGCCGACTGGGCCCATGTGGGGACCACCCCTGATGGTGTCAGCCGCCGACTGGGTCCGTGTGGGGACCACCCCTGATGGTGTCAGCCGCCGACTGGGTCCGTGTGGGGACCACCCCTGATGGTGTCAGCCGCCGACTGGGTCCGTGTGGGGACCACCCCTGATGGTGTCAGCCGCCGACTGGGTCCGTGTGGGGACCACCCCTGATGGTGTCAGCCGCCGACTGGGTCCGTGTGGGGACCACCCCTGATGGTGTCAGCCGCCGACTGGGTCCGTGTGGGGACCACCCCTGATGGTGTCAGCCGCCGACTGGGTCCGTGTGGGGACCACCCCTGATGGTGTCAGCCGCCGACTGGGTCCGTGGGGGACCACCCCTGATGGTGTCAGCCGCCGACTGGGTCCGTGTGGGGACCACCCCTGATGGTGTCAGCCGCCGACTGGGTCCGTGTGGGGGACCACCCCTGATGGTGTCAGCCGCCGACTGGGTCCGTGTGGGGACCACCCCTGATGGTGTCAGCCGCCGACTGGGTCCGTGTGGGGAACCACCCCTGATGGGATTTCAAGCCGCCGACTGGGTCCGTGTGGGGAACCACCCCTGATGGTGTCAGCCGCCGACTGGGTCCGTGTGGGGACCACCCCTGATGGTGTCAGCCGCCGACTGGGTCCATGTGGAGACCACCCCTGATGGTGTCAGCCGCCACAAGTGGTGGCGGAAGCTGAAGGGTATTGTGACAGACCGTGTGACTGTCTGTGTGACGGGCCATGTGACGAGTCGTGTGGTGGGACCTATGACGGACTTGACGTACCTGTGGCGTTACGGGACCATGTGTCCTGCCGCCCACGTAGTGGACCGTGCGACGTGACGGACCGTGTGACGTGACAGGCCGTGTGACGGACCGTGTGACTCGCTGTGTGACAGCCCGATCGGTGACCCGTTTCCGGTCCCCAGGTGGAGTGCGCCCGCTCCACGGACGGCAAAAGCCGGCTGGTGCGGCCCCATGTCCGACTCAGCATGCTGTGGTACCTGGCCAACAACGTGACCAAGGGCGCCTGGGTTGGAGCCGACGACCGACTGCAGCAGGGGCTGACGGACAGGTGGGCAGGCTGCGGCAGGGGCTGGCGGACAGATGGGCAGGCTGCGGTAGGGGCTTACGGACAGGTGGGCAGGCTGCGGTAGAGGCTGCCGGACAAGTGGGCAGGCTGCGGCAGGGGCTGACGGACAGATAGGCTGGCTGCGGTAGAGGCTGACGGACAAGTGGGCAGGCTGTGGCAGGGGTTGACGGACAGATGGGCTGGCTGCGGTAGAGGCTGACGGACAGATGGGCTGGCTGGTGGGTGGGCCTGACCCTGCCGAGCGGGCGGGTCAGCCGCTCCAGCGACGCTGCCGAGCTCCGACACCGAGCTCCGCGCCTGACCGTCGTTCAGCTGTCGTCGGGTGTCGGGTCCGCGCGTGTAACAGCTGACAGTCGTGTGGCCGTCACATCCTGCTGAAGTCGGACCGGCGTGTCTCTGTGGTAGAAGCTGAGTTACAGGTCCTGTAGCACGGGGCCAGACGCCGGGACACGTCCACTGACACGTCGGGGCCCGACTGCCGACAGTGGCGGAGTCCCCTTACTGGCCGCGGTGCTTGCGGCCATGCCGCTGCCCGGCGGACTCCTGGCCGAGGACGCCGCGAACCAGACCACCCCGGCCTCGACAGTGCTGGGTGGCCAGCTGCCCGGCGGCTGCATGGCTGTCCAGGACGGCGGTTACGCTGTGGTCGACTGCGGGGAGCAGCGGAGTCACCTCTGCGAGTACACTGGGAGCACCCGCTGCCCGACCGGCTTCGTCCGACACCAAGGCAACTGCTACAAGGTGCCAGCCGGAACCGTCTGCCGCTGTGGTATGCTGCGGCCGCGGATGTTTGCAGTCTGCCGTCCAAAAACGCGTTGCATGTGAAATGGTGCTCCTGCTGGTGTGTGTCCGCGGCGGTGCGATGGACACACAGCCGGTGCGTTCAGAGTACGGACAGGACACGAGGAGCTGTCTCCGGGGCAGAGGACTGGGCGGACGCTGGTTGAGGACGCGGATGGAGTAGGTGCTGGTGTCGCAGATTAGAACGGCTGCTGGCATGGCGTCGCAAACGGCTGCTGGCACCCGCACTCGGCCCAGGTTACGACATCCGCTGCCGTCGCCGCTGCCTCCGATGATCACCGCCAGCAGACCAGCGCCGCCGTCGCCCGTCCGGACGCGTGCCCGGCCGCGGCGACGCCTCCGACTGTGACCGGGGCCGGGCCACTGACGGGCGCGCTCGGCTCCCGCAGGTGCAGGCCGAGGACGAGACGGACGCCGCCTACGCCGAAGCCGAGCGACGCTGCGCCTTCCACGCCAGCTTCGTGGCCGCCGATCGCGACGTGCGAGAGGCCGCCTTCCTGAGCCAACTGATGACGTCAGGTAGGGTGACGTCATCCCGACAGCGCCAGCGTCGCTCCGCCACTCTTGGGTCGGCGGCTGGCCGTGATAGATCACGTGTGACGTCACGGCTAAACACATCGTGGGACTCGCTCTGTTCCACTCCCAAAGGCCTTACATGTTCTCACTTATCAGTTCTGAGATCATACCGTGATCCGCGGAGTCGCCGCGGTCAGAAACGCTCCTCAAACCTCGTGTCCTTTGACCTCCACGTGTAGCTCCGGACCGCGCCGTGCGCTCCAGAGCAGCGGGCGCGGGAGGGGAGGGGGCGCCCTGCCACGCCCTCTCTCACTCGTTCCGTCTCGTGTCCGCAGTGGGCCGCTCCTCCTACTGGGTGGGTCTCAGCTCGGACGAACCGGACGACACGGGTCTGACCTACCCGGACGAGGAGGCGTTCAACGCCACCGACCACACGCGCTTTGCGGCACCGCCGACGCTGGCGGCGCCGGCCTGCACCGTTGCCACCGAGGCCGACGACTTCGTCAGCTGGCGGGAGGCGGCCTGCAGCCAGCGACACGACTACGTCTGCCAGTACAGCGGTACGACCGGCCGCGGGGACGTGCTGAAAGAGGCGCTCTCCTTCGCCGGCGGACTCGCAGGGTGGCCGACTTGTGTGACACCTGACACGCGTGGTTCGCTTGGTTCTTGGTGCGGGAGGCTGCCACGAGGCCTATCATGGAGTTTGGTCTTAAGCCGGCAGCATGTGGTCCCCACTCAAGCGCTGCAGGGTCGCGCTCCAGCGTCCGGTGCCCGAGCAGCCAGCTCGACAAGGCTAGTTGTCTAGCGTCGATGCTGCCTGAGTGTTGTGGATGGGACGGTGCTCCAGCGCCCGGTGCCCGAGCTAGCCAGCTCGACAAGGCTAGTTGTCGAGCGTCGCTGCTGCCTGAGTGTTGTGGATGGGACGGTGCTGTGCGGCGGGCGCCCTGACCGGGGGATCACCGCCAGGCCCGCCCGCCTGCCCCGCCGGCTACGACCCACTATTACACAGCGGCTACAACTGCGTCTCCATGAGCGACACGGCCGACGGCAGCTACTGGGTGAAGCAGCGCGACTGCCGGATGGCGGGCCCGAACACGGACCTGGTGCTGGTCACCTCGTCACTCATGCACCAAGGCTTGCTGGTACGAAGATAGAGGGCCGAGGGTGGAAGAGTGTGTGTGAGAGGGAGAGAGGGAGAGAGAGAGAGGGACAGAGAGAGAGAGAGAGAGAGAGAGAGAGAGAGAGAGAGAGAGAGAGAGAGAGAGAGAGAGAGAGGAGAGAGAGAGAGAGAGAGAGAGAGAGAGAGAAGAGAGAGAGAGGAGAGAGAGAGAGAGAGAGAGAGAGAGAGAGAGAGAGAGAGAGAGAGAGAGAGAGAGAGAGAGAGAGAGAGAGAGAGAGAGAGAGAGAGAGAGAGAGAGAGAGAGAGAGAGAGAGAGAGAGAGAGAGAGAGAGAGAGAGAGAGAGAGAGATAGAGAGAGAGAGAGGGACAGAGAGAGATAAAGACAGAGATGAAGATGGAGATGGAGATGGAGATGAAGATAGAGATAGCGATAGAGCTAGAGATAGAAATAGTGTAGAAGGAGGAATAAATAGATAGAAATAGTGCAGGAAGGAGGGAGGAGGAAAGGAGGAAAAAAGGGAGGGAGGGAGGGAGGAGGGGCAGGGAGGGAAGAAGGAGGAAGAGAGGGAGAAGGGAGGGAGGGAGGGAGCAGGAAGAAGGGACCAGGAAGGGAGGAAGGAAGGGGGAGGAAGGGAGAGAAAGGTAGACAAGGCGCGGAAGCTATCACTCTCTGTACGACTAGCACACAAGCTGCTCTGCAAGCGCGCCTGGAAGAAAACCATGCAAACTCGCCCTCTGCCCCGCCCCACAGGACCCTACCCAGCGCAGGTGTTAGTGAGCTGCTCGTAGATGGCGCTGCTGCCGAGGATGGTGCCTCTGTTGCGTCGCCGGCGGCAGCTCACCACGCCAGTCGGCTGTTTCAGGGCTATGTGTACAGCAAGCAGGGGCAGAACAGAGCCCCCGCTTGGATCCGCTACCGCGGCCGCGTCGAGGCGGCCGACGTCGAAAACGAGCGCACCGGGCCTGGCAGCTTGGACCGCTGGGGACGGCTCGTCACCTTTCACAACACGCGCCGCAGCCAGGGAGTGCAGGACATGGGGGCCGGCGCCACACGTGAGTGGTCACCGGCCGCGGGCCGCCGGCGACGGCGGCGGCCGGTGGATGTACTGGAACGACGCGTGCGCGTGCACGTGTGTGCGTGTCTGTGTGTGTGTGTGTGTGTGTGTGTGTGTGTGTGTGTGTGTGTGTGTGTGTGTGTGTGTGTGTGTGTGTGTGCGTGTGTGTGTGTGTTGTGTGTGTGCGTGTGTGTGTGTGCGTGTGTGTGTGTGTGTGCGTGTGTGCGTGTGTGTGTGCGTGTGTGCGTGTGTGTGTGTGTGTGCGCATGCATGTGTGCGTACGTGTGCGTGCGTGTGTGTGTGTGCGTGTGTGTGTGTGTGTGCGTGTGTGTGTGTGTGCGCATGCATGTGTGCGTACGTGTGTGTGCGTGTGTGCGTGTGTGCGTGTGTGTGTGTGTGCGCATGCATGTGTGCGTACGTGTGCGTGCGTGTGTGTGTGTGTGCGTGTGTGTGTGTGCGCATGCATGTGTGCGTACGTGTGTGTGCGTGTGTGTGTGCGTGCGTGTGCGGACTGATTGGCGTGGGCCGGGACTGTACGCCGAGCCATGCACCGAACGGCGTGTTTTGTGGCTGTTCTGCCCAGAGAACCCAGTATGCAGGGTAGCGGACGTGGAAATCGATCAGCTTCATCGATAGGCTCCTCGTGACCGTGCGTGACGTCGCCTCTCGCAAGCGCACCATGCTCCTCAGAGACCTGATGACGCTGTCGGGCTTCTGCGGGCCTGGCCCGCGATCAGCTTTGGCTGTGGCTGGCTCTCCCATAGGACTTAGGTGTTTTGGCAGCTATGAAACACTTGCTATGCGTAATTATCCTTTATCACCCGGAGGACAACTATCAATATGGCTATCAATATGTTTGCACTTTAAACACTGACGCAGAGGGCACTGATCGCCGAAACCCCAACCCTCTCGGTGCCTCGCCGAAAGTGTGACGTCACCGACACCGTCCCCCCTCCCCGCCCGCCGACAGAGGACGACATCTGGAGTGAGAAGTGTGCGGTGCTGGACACCACCGTGAGAAACCACGACAACTGGGTTCGCAAGGAGTGCGACGAGGCGCATCAGGCCGTCTGCGAGCACACTGGTCAGTACCACGACTCGAGCGACCCTCAGCGGGGGCGCGCCCCACTCCCCCCCCCCCCCCCAACCCCACACCACTACCTACTCCCACCCCTCTCAGCCCGCTGCCATGATCGAAACACCCGACCGCTCTCCACGACTCGTCAGGCTCACGCCTGGCTTGCCTCGCCCGACTCCGGTGCTTGTGGATGCTGAGCGCTGTGATGGCACGGCATCGCCTCCTGACACGCTGACGCGCCGACACGCTGACGCGCTAGTACGGTGACACGCCGACACGCTGACGCGCTGGCACGCTGGCACGCTGACACGCTGAGACGATGACATGCTGCCATGCTGCCATGCTGACATGCTGACACGCTGACACGACATGCTGACATGCTGACACGCTGACACGCTGACACGCTGGAGCGCTGACACGTTGACACGCTGACACGCTGACACGCTGACACGCTGACACGCTGATACCTCGTTGCAGCGTGCTACTCGGAGCGCGGCCGCCAGTGCACGTTCCCCTTCACGAACCCCGACGACGGCATCGAGTACCACAACTGCTCGTCGCTGAACCCGGCCGACATCTTCGAGCCCTGGTGCGCCACAGGTGAGGCCAGACCGTCGTCACGTGACCGTCGTCTGGAGCCGACAGACGGGCGCCGCAGGTCACGTGGGCCTCTCAGCCCGCCGGCAGTCACGTGACCGTCGTCTGGAGCCGGCAGACGGGCGCCGCAGGTCACGTGGGCCTCTCAGCCCGCCGGCTGTCACGTGACCGTCGTCTGACGCTGCGTGTCTGGGCGGCCAGAGGTCAACGGCACGGGCCACGCCACGCGCCTGGAGCGCTGCCTGCCCTACTGCTACTTCGAAAGACCCATCGTCACCTGCTACGACACGCCGCCGCGGCCGCCGCTGCAGGACGAAATGCCGGCCGACCGGTGGCGCGTCAACTGGACCTCCAGCTGGGACGGCGTCACAGACCTGCAACAGGTGAGACCGGCTGGCGCGGCGACGGCGACGGCGGCGGCCGCTGCCGCGGCGCCGGCAGTGTGTGGACGGCCGTCGGCGACGGCGGTCTCGCTGGAGGGCCGGCACCGCGATCAGCGCCGGCTTGGCCGTCTGACCTCAGAGCGCTAATGCGCCGGCGGCAGCCGCTGGCACTCCACAAAAACGTCGTGACGACGTGTGCCGCGTCCCATACCAGCAATGGAAGGCAGCGCGGAACGGTAGCGGTGACTCGCGCGGCGAACTGGACTGGGCGTGGCCCTCGCGTTGGCGGCGTGGGGAGGGGGTGTCAGGGGGCGGGAGGCTTCGCTTTGGCCCGAGAGCGAACGCAGCGCAGTGACAAGGGCCGCCTCACCCGCAGCATCAATCCATCATCTACACCTGCCCCGAGGGATATCACTTTGACTTCAACAACACGCCGGAAGTGCAGGTCACGTGCGGCAACTGGACCTGGGAGGAGGCACCGCAGCTCAACTCCACCTGCCAGCGTAAACAGCTGACGCGCGCGGCCGATGGGGCGCCGGGCGGAGCTGGCGTATGACGTCATCAGCCCTGTTTGTCGCAACTACTTGTGTGTATTGTGCATCTTGCGTGTCAGTCCCAACCACTTGTAGTTGCTTGTGTGTATTGTGTGTATGGACACGCTAGATTGCGAACTTAGTATCGTTGCCCAGTTTTCGTACGATCATGACTACGATTATTGCGTGGACGAGATAATCATGGGTATTTCATGGTGTGTTTGGCTATTCTCGCTGCCTATCGGACAAGAATTAACGCACAACACTTTCATCGAGACGCGAGAGCGTAGAGCTGTTAGACAGCTTATTTTCATCACAAATGTTACGTTAGCCATTAGGGCGGGGGTGCTGTACGTTTTTTACTTGTTTATATTTTTTACTCCACAGCAATTTCCAGTAGGTCATGACACCCATTCGGCATGTTCTACGAAGAAGCCATGCTGGAATCATGGTCTCGTTTAGAACTGATCAGTTTTCTTCAGGCAATGAACCCTTATTTTTGAAGACCAAGCTGTAGACAGACGGCGTGTTTTTTTAGTCATTCAGTATTTTCCATTTCGCCGAAGGTTTCTCTTATGACTGAATATGCTGAAAGGTTTCGAACCTGCACTAACAGAGGACAGACCAAATATGATCTGGTGATATTTTCACTTTGGCAGCAGCTTAGCCAACAACATTGAGGCCGAAAGCCCAAACGTGTCAGTCTTAACTGTTTGAAATGTTTTCGGGCTCAAAAACGTTTTTTGGGGATTACGACATTTCTTTGGCTGCACCAATCTATTTAAGTATTTGTCCCAATTTCTTATTTAAAAAATTGTCCCTTCCCAAACGTCCCGCGGAGAACAATTGATTCCGTTTAGAGACGAACCCCTTGTGAAGCCAAGTGCGCGTGCCGGCGCCGACGGCACGTCTGGTCCTGCTCCCAGCGGTCCGGTGCCCGGAGGAGCTACCCAGGGTGGCGTCCGACTCGGCCTACAACGCCTCTATCCTGGCCTGGAACGAGGAGCACGAGTACCTCACCGAGATCACCTTCAAGTGTCCCACAGGCACGTAATGGCCGGAGGGCTAGCCGGCGACAGAAGAGCGGGAAAGGGTAAATGTTATCAACAGATGATGTTGGCTGCTTGAAACAGCGCTGAGATTTGATGCAGGTAGTATGTTGCTGACTGAACACAACACCATACATGACTTGCCAGCCAGTACTGAATCGGCATTTGAAGTGGGCTGAGCGCTCGGGGCCACGGTTGATGAGGTGCGCTGTTGTTTGTGGCCAGGTCACACGTATGACATGTCCGTTGGTGTTGCCTAGGTCACATGCTTGAGGGGAGATCAGTCCACTGGACCGCGTTCCTCATTGGCAAAGTACCTACTTGAGTTGCTACCGATGACAATGCAAGTTAATACGTCATACACAAGCGACTATTGCCCAAGCCGTAGCAGCAGTTGTGACACACTTACCGCTGACGTCATAGGTTGCAACTTGTGGACAGCTGTTGGTAATGGAGAACGCGGCCCTGGTGGCCGTCAAGTCACGTGCTTGGGTGGTGCGCAGCACGTCAATTGGTGTTCGCCAGATCACGTAATGGAGGAGAAAGCCTGCCGCCGTCCTGTAGGTCACGTGTTCACACGTCCGCTGCCGTTGACCAGGTCACGTGTTCGAGGGTGAGCCGCGCCAGCCGGAGGATGACTGGCAGACAAACCCGTCCAACTGGAGTCAGCTGCTGACGGTGCGGTGCGAGGCGTCGCAGAGCTGGTCGCGGCCCCAGCTGCCCGCCTGCCAGCCCTTCGACTGCGCTGGCCCGCCGCCGGCGCCGCTTCTCGCCGTCTCCTCCGACTGGGACAACGACACGCTCACCTACAGCTCCTCCGTACGTCACGCTCGCCTTCGACCCTTCCGCACGTCACGTTCTGTTCCGACTTCTCCACATGCATCGTCGACTCCTGCGTGCCTTCCGCTTGCCTTCGACTCCCGCGTGTCTTGCGCCCGCCTTCGACTCCTCCCCTTGTGACGCTCAACATCAGCTCCTGCGTATGCTCCGCCCACTCTAAACTCCTCCGCGCGTCAAGGTCACCTTCGACGCCTGTGCTCCTGTAAGGCTCTATACACTACATGCAACTATCACACCCTCACGCGCAATTAGTTGTGTTCATACACAATTACTTAAGTTTACACACAACCATTGTTGCGTGACTTTCACTTAATCTCAGCACGTTCTGCTAAAATGAATTATTCCGCAGTGCGTGCGCCATAGTCAGCCTGTATCCCTCTTCGTCAAAACCATGCTTCACACTGGCGCTGTGTGTCTGGACTCCTGCGGCGTGCACAACACACACGCACGCCATCTCGGAGCCAGGTTCCGCGCGCACGTCTGCGCCACGAATCGGCCGGCGCCCGCGGCCGGCTCGTGCCCGCGTGTGATGACGTCACTGTCTGCGCGGCAGGTGCGCTACTGGTGCACGGCGGGTGTGGGCTGGGGCTTCCCCAGCGACGGTGCCACAGAGCGCAGCGTCACCTGCCAGGCGGACGGCAACTGGTCGCTGACCAGCGTCGAGGACTGCATCGGTGAGCTCCGGCGGCCGAGCGTCGCGCCGTCGGATGCCACGACCACCGGGCCTCGTGGTGACCTTCCAGGTTGTGCGCCTTGTGCTGTTGAACCATGCCACCTTCGCCTACCGAGCTCTATGGAGGCCGTCTTGCCTGGTCCAGACCCCTATGCCCCCGATCCGTGCGTGCAGCCCTGAACCACACCACGTTCTCCCGGCGACCTCTTTGAAAACCTTCTGATGCTGGCCTGCTGGTACAGACGGGGTTCCGGCGCTGCCGCACCCGCTAGCCGTTGATGCGACCTCGGCAGACCAACCGCCCTGCCTCGCCCCGCCCCCCCCCCTGCGTGACGCGACCCGCGGCGTGCAGTGACGCCCTCCGCGCGCCGGCAGTGATGCCCTGCCCAGACCGCCCGCCGGCGCCTCTGGCCGACCAGCAGCTGTCGTACGGCATCATCGTCAGCAACTACACGTGCCCGCCGGGCTGGGAGTTCCCCGGCGGCGGAGCGCAGCGCTCTGTCGAGTGTCTGCTCGACACCAAGGTGTGGCAGCCTGAGAGCGTGCCAGCCTGCCGCAGTGAGTGAAGCCGACCGATGGACCGGCGGACGCCCGAGGCAGTGGGTAGAGCGATGAGGGAGTGGAGAGAAATGGAGGCTGGCTCTTGTGCAGCCTCGGGCTGTCGGTTCGGGGACGGGCGTGATTAGATGCGCCGGTAGCAGTGGTGATATGTGCCGGTAGCAGTGGTAAGGTATGCCAGCAGCAATGGTGAGATGTGCCGGTAGCAGCAGTGAGATATGCCGGTAGCAGCGGTGAGATGTGCCGGTAGCAGTGGTGAGATGTGTCGGTAGCAGTGGTGATACGTGCCGGTAGCAGTGGTAAGGTATGCCAGCAGCAGTGGTGAGATGTTCCGGGAGCAGCAGTGAGATGTGCCGGTAGCAGCGGTGAGATGTGCCGGTAGCAGTGGTGAGATGTGCCGGTAGCACCGCTGCGGCGGGGTGGACTAGACTGCGACAGTGAGCGCGACCCATGACGTTAGTCAAGCAGTTTTCCAGCGGCAGTGCTCTGGTCCTCATGCTGGCCGGGAACGTATCCGCTTTAGCTGACACGGCCGGGCTTTGTTCACACCACTGAATGAAATGTGATGAAGACTAGTCACATTTTATGGTGAATAGATAGAGACGTCTGCTGTAACGGACTTGCCCAGCCTGTAAAAGATCGCCGTGTATTGGTGACATGACGAATGACAGGATGGTAACGTAACACTATAGCATTCTACAATCTCGTCGGGTGTCAGCAAGCCATCGGGTGTCAGCAAGCCAAACAGTTCCAACAATGCGCTAGCTTGAACCAGCTGTCCACCCGACTGTGGGCGCATGTCTACCCCGTTATGAGTGTAACCGGAGCCGCCGGTCAGCCAGTGACGCCGCCGCCACCCTCGACAGAGCGTCGCTGCGAAGACGCGCCCCCGGAGCAGCCCGCCGACGACATGACTGTGGACTGGCCGCTGGTCGGCGGCTACCCGGGCCGACAGATGGACCACGTGGTCACCTACAAATGTCCGCGGGGCTTCATCACGTGGGACCTCAACGTCACGAATCAGGTGAGCGGCGCCAGGCGCGCGGCCACGCGTGCGCCGAGGACCGGCCCGCTCTCTGACGACGCCGGGCGGTAATCACTGCCATCTATCGGAGAAGACTGACAGATGCCGTCGGCCGTATCACGTGCGTTTGCAGCGCTTCGTTCAGTGCTTCTCTGTTGGCACGCCGGTCTGTGGTAGCAGCGCCATCCGCAGCACGTTGACAGTACCTGAACGCGACGATCCGGTGGTCCTGCATGACTTCACGTGACCGATCCACCTCAGCGGGTTCGCGAGCCATTAGTGAAGCCGATGATGCGTGAGCTCAAATTCACGACAGCTGGTGGCGCTCTAAGTCGGCTGCTGACGTCACGTACTGATGCCACCGGCAGGAGGTGACGTGCGTGCACGAGCCGGCGAGTGACGCCATGGTCTGGGACCCACCCGACATCGCCGAGTGTAACCGTGAGTGCAGCGGGTTGGTCACGTGGTCCGGCCGCAGGTCGTGTGACGTCATGCCGTGCGCCGTCGGCTGGCGGCGCGCGCACGCGCGCTGAAGCTGGTCCGAGGCTAATGACGTCACGCTTCTTTAGATGATGTCATTGACAGAGGGTTCTGAATCTGGATGACGCTGCTGTCGATGACCGGCTGACATAGATGGCCATATTGACAGCGTCTTCGATCTCTTTGATGCCCACGAGTGACATCTTAGACTCTCGTGGCCAAGTCTCTGTGGGCTTAAACGCGCCTTCTCCGCGGCTGATCGATCAGTGGATTGATAAGTTCTGAATGGCTTCCGCAATAAGGCGTGTTGCCAGTTGTCATTCCGCGTTGTACTGAAGGTCAGTCTCGCGATATGTAATTAACCCATCTGTCGGCATCCTCATCTCCCATGCCGCCGGAGCGAGACACCGACTCAGGTACGTGCTGCAGCTCTGTCATGGTGCTGAGCTTCAGCTCTATCGTGGCGCTGAGCTGAAGCTCTATCGTGGCGCTGAGCTGCAGCTCTATCGTGGCGCTGAGCTGCAGCTCTATCGTGGCGCTAAGCTGTAGCTCTGTCGTGGCGCTGAGCTGCAGCTCCGTCACGGCGCTGAGCTGCAGGTCTATCGTGGCGCTGAGCCCACCACGGACAATCAAGAGTTGTAGCTCTATCGCCTCTGGCTGAAACGTTGGATGATTAATCAGCATTGGCGTTGGGAATGTCTTGGTATAGTAATTCTAAGTCTAAGTAATTCCAGTTTGTTCGAACATATACCGTAGCATGTTAATTCTGAGCAGTGTTGCTATTGCTATTTTGGAGGAAAGTGTTAACTGTGTACATCAGTCGTTGTTATCCTTCCCCTTCCTGTCGCCACGTCCTGCCGAGAATGAATCAGAGTGGACGAATGAATGGGTGAGAATGAATCAGAGTGGTCGAATGAATGGGTTATGTCATGTGCTGACGAGTGCGCGCGTGTGTACGTCATGGGTACATGTGCACGTGCGTGTGCTGAGGGAGCGTTGGCGCGTGGGACGGCCGGTCTGCCGCGGACAAAGACTGCAACGTGAACGTTTGACGACAAAACTGACGAGACGAGAAGACTGGAAAGCCGCGGGAAGTGGCTCGCCTCCCTGTGATCAGCCGAAGAGATGGCCTCGGAGAACCTCGCGTTGGTTGTGGAGACCGAACAGCTACATGAACAGGTGAGGAGGCGAACAATAAGGGGTACCTGGCCATGTGAGTGGCTTGCAACCCATGTGCGGGCTGTTGGCGCGATCTCTTTTGGAAGAGTGTGTGCTTTGGTTTAATACCTATTGGTTAGGATGTGTTTGTGTAATGCGGCAGCGTACAACCAAACGCGTCCAGCAGATTAACACAATAGGGTTGTTGGAGTCTTGGATCTGCTTCCATCAACAGGTTCCATAGAATCTCAAAGAAACTTTGATTATTTTTCCGTCTCATTCTTCCTCGCTCGATTTTCCACGATCGGCCGGCACGCTTCGGGGAGGAGAACAGCCTGTGCTGCGCCTGCCAGCCGTGGCCGACTCTGGCCGGGGAGCTGGCGCCGCGGCCGAGGAGGGAGATCAGCTGTGGCCGACTCTGTCCGGGGAGCTGGCGCCGCGGCTAAGGAGGGAGATCAGCTGCGCCGCGAGTGCTGACTGAGCTAGCCAGACCAGACTGGCGTCAGCGGCCGAGCTACCCGCCGCCACAGACGGAGCAGTCCTGTGTGCTGTCAGCAGAGGAGGACTTCCGGCCTGCGTAGCCCTCTCCAACGGCGAGGAGAGAGCCAGCACAGGTTCGCGACAGTCAGACCACGCTCCGGTGCTCCGTCCACACTGATCTGAAGTCTGGCTTCACCCCAGACACGCTTAACAATGTATCATTATGGGCCGCGTGATGTTTGCTCCCAATGTGATGGCTTGTGACGTGTGGCTACCGAGTCCGGGGCCTGGGAGGCGGGAGCGGCAAGGGAGCCTAGAGTCAGAGTCGGAGTCGGAGTCTAACGCAAACTCCGTGTGGCCTGCCGGCCGGATGGGTGTACCTATACTGGGACTGTTAAAAGTTCTACACTTAAGGCTAAAGCGGAGAATCTGTGTCTGTTCCTTTCTTTTAGCCTGATTGTAGAAAAAACTGATGTGAATAAAGTGACGAAAGCGTTGCAGCTTGTTTTGGAACTGCTATTCAGCGCGTCTCTTGTTTCAGGTTTGATTGTTAGTCTAGGCTTGCGTCTTAACGGATAAGTCACGTACTCGAGCCCAATCAAGACTCACTGCCATGGCCGACCTCGGACGTCACACAGTGGCCCGACCTCTGTCGGACGTCACACAGCGGCCCGACCTCTGTCGGACGTCACACAGTGGCCCGACCTCTGTCGGGCGTCACACAGTGGCCCGGCCTCTGTCGGGCGTCACACGCGACGTGTCACAGTCGACACGTGACCCCGTCAGCGCCGTGACAGTGGCGTCACAGCCGGACAGACCGCGTCCGTCCGGTCCGGCGACCGCTGCAGGGACCGCCGGCGGCGATGGAGGCCGGGACCGAGCGTGGCGACACTCGGTACAGCCAGGCCGGTCGGTGTGGGGACCCAGAAGGGTCGGCAGGGGACGACCTAACGTGGTCTCCATTTACATACTTGATTGCACGGCTGCATGGTTCTCACTAGATTTTTTGCGTTTTCAGACGACGGCTATTTACGCACTCCAAATTTGGTAATTTTTAGCTTCTTCCGACCCCTTGGTATGACATTTGTTCCACTAACGACCTCGAGCCCAATGCAAGTTAAATAGGTCTTCGTATGCTCACATCTGTCCATCTTGCTTTCCCATGTTTCTATGACCAGAAGTTTCGGCATTCTTTCAGGCTGGCCGGTCGCACAGCGTAAAACAAACCACTTCAACATCACAGTGTCTATTTACACCAATCATGCTCATTCCTGCACCCGTTCATAATAGCGACCATCTCACGGATATAGTTACCCCATCTGTCGGCGCGCATACGAACCAAACACGCACGCTGCTTACTAAGCACGCTCACACGGGGACTAGTCGGTGGTTACAGCTAACTGTCGCGTTGCAGTCGCCATGGAAGGCCGCACGCGAGCCCGAGACGCTCTGGCGGCTTGTCACGGGCGCAGGACGCAGGGCGCAGGGCGCAGGACGCAGGGCGCAGGGCGCAAGACGCAGGGCGGGACGGCGCTCGCGCGCTGGTCAGACCGATTACTCCGCAGCAATGGCATCATTCAAGTGCTGATGACGTCATCTCGCGCCGTGCCCTGGCTACTGCGGTGACCACACTGGGGGTCATGATGTTGCCATCGCATGGCAAGGGGGGGGGGTCGTTCCCAGCTCATGAACGGCTCCTCCACGTTCTGCAATTTGACTATGCTCCTCTGTCGGCTCGAAGCCGCGCGAACGCTTACGTCGTTTCGTCATTTCGCTTTACGCACCATAGTCATGGAGCCGGAGGGTTTCCGTGAATGGTGCGCTAACGCGGTAAGATGACAATGAAAGCAAAGGGATCGCTAGTACCGGGTTTTGCGCATCTGTGCGCATTGACAACGTCATTTCTCCCCGTCCCTTGAGAGATCTGCTTTCCCAACATACATCCCCGGAATGGTGGGGAGTTTTGCAATAGGGTTTGACTACTGGGTCTGTGGCATACTGCGGTTCCGACAGGCCAGTTTCAATGGACTTAGTTACGTTTGTAACGTCGGTGACAAAAAGTGATCTAGCCAGAATACACCGCCGTCAGTCCGGTTCTGGCCGGCCGGTTTATTCGGGAACATTCCTCAATGGCCCGCCCAAGTCGTCAACGGCGGCATCGTGCTTCCAGGAGTCCTCACCGAGCGTCACACGACGCTACCCGCACTGGCCCGGCCCATGCCGACCGCAGGCCGTGAGCTAGCTCACCTCTCGCCTCCTCTCACACACACGCAGCTCTCGGTTCCCGCGCCCAGCGCTGGCGAGAGTGCCGCCGGCGTCGCGCTCTCAGAGCGGCGTGTCGGTGATCTCGCCGGGCTGCGCCAGCGCCGCCTCCCGGTCGCTGAGCGCCTTGAGCAGCTTGCGGCGCGGCCCGAGCGGCAGGCCCAGCTCGGCCAGGTCGGCCTCGGAGAGCAGCGCCAGTGCCGCCAGGTCGATCTGCTCGCGCGTGAACGTCGGGATGAACTCGGCCAGGCCGGCCGACGTCAGCACCAGGTGCAGCGCCGACGTCTCCGGGTTCATCTCCTCCACCTCGTCATCTGCCGGCCAGCAGGGCCCAGCACGTACAGAGGAGCCGAGGCTGAGCTCAGCACGTACAGAGGAGCCGAGGCTGAGCTTAGCACGTACAGTGGCACCGGGGGTGGCCTCAGCAGGTACAGAGGCACCGGAGGAGGGGGCCTCAGCAGACACAGAGACACCGGGGGGCGGGCTTCAGCATGCAGTGAGGTATGGCGGAAATGTGTTTAGCTGCAGTGACGTAGGCCATAACTACTTGATAAAACAAATGAGTAGGAAACGTTGGACCTTCTCGATGTCTGTTGGCAGGGAAGCTGGCTGACTTCCTGACTTTGTTTTCCATCGGCGCGGCACAATGCAGCCGTCACGACGCCAGCTAGTGTGCCAGCTCTTCCTTTTAGTCCTTGCCGAACTAGTCAGAGGGCAGAGACTGAAGGCTAAGTAGTAAGGAAAGCAGGGAGAGGTGATATCCATAGGTTACAATATGAGCTCTACCGGGGGACAATTTGCTAGAGGGACGGTCACAGCGTTGATGTTCATAAGGTGTATGCCACTTTCCCAACGTCGTGAACACGAGATCTGCACGACTTTGTCCTCGAAAGGGCATTGTCCAACTCTGTACTGGCGCGATTTCAAGGCTTTGGGGCTGTATTTTGTTACCTGTGAGTTCTATTGCCCTCCTCTACCGTCTCGAACTATCTTGTTTGCTATAAATGGTTGCCATAATTACCACCGGCACTACTGGCACTGGTCACTCGCGCACCACTGACCGCCGCTGGCGCAATCAGTGACAGCGGCAGACAGTGGCGCCGCCTGATGGTGTTGGTTTTAGCGCCTCCCATGTGCGTTCATTGGATGCACCTGCCATGAAAATAGTTGTTCTCTGACAGCATTAACGCCAGCGACGCACACGAAAAGCTTACCGCTTGGAAGGTCCTCTTCGTCCCAGGGGTTCTGCTTTCCGGTGAGGGCTGCCGGTCGGAGCCGATGCTGTCCTCCTGACCTGACTTGACCTCCACGGTCCTCGGGTAGCTGACTCAGCGCCGAGTTATGTTTTCCTGACAGAGTTCGACGCCTTAGTCAGTGTAAGTTTATGTTTGTCCTGACAGAGTTCGGTGCCGTCGTCAGTGCAAGTTTATGTTTCTTCCTGACAGAGTTCGGTGCCCTAGTCAGTGTAAGTTTATGTCTTGTCCTGACAGAGTTCGGTGCCGTTGTCATTGCAAGTTTATGTTTCTCCTGACAGAGTTCGGTGCCCTAGTCGGTGTAAGTTTATGTTTGTCCTGACAGAGTTCGGTGCCCTAGTCAGTGTAAGTTTAGGGGTTTGTCCTGACAAGAGGTCGGGCCGTCGCTCAGGGCAAGTTATGTTTCTGTCACTGACAGAGTTCGGTACCGTCGTCAGTGTAAGTTTGGGTGTTTTTGTCCTGAGAGAACTACGTGCCGTGGTCGTTAAAAGGTTGCATTTGTCTGACAGAAATTCAAGTGCAGTAGTCAGTGCAAGTGGGCTGAGTGGATGAGTGACACGAGCAGGCATGACATCTAACAATGGAAAACTGACAAAGAAAGATACCCGATTGTTACGAAATACGTGGAGGTTGATGCCAACTCGACGAGCAGCTTTTAACCAGCGTCAATGCCTGGCTTACCTCGCAGCGTATAAACCTCACTGCCTGGCGTGCCTCGCAGCGTACAAAATACATCGCGGCAAAATAAGGATGGATTTCAGTAAACGCAAACAGCTGACTTTGTTTGCTGCTATTCGTAATGGCCTCCTCAGAGCACGGTGAAGTGGGTGTTCACCGCCGGTGTCATTACAGCCACGGCCAGCGACAGCCAGGGAAGCGCATGGAGTTCACGATGACAGCAGCGTCAGACGACCCTGCGCTGACGACCCCTGAACCGTCAGACGACCCAGCAGCGTCAGACGACCCTGCGCTCGGATTGGCTGCAGTTTTTTGTCAAAGTAAATTGGTGCTGATATCAAGGCGGAATTAAGGCGTGAGCCAGTGGTCGACACGTGTTGAGAGAATGTCAGAGCGGCGGCCGCTTCTCCAGACAGGGTGGGTGACGTCCCTGATGTGGAGACGGACGGCGCGGAGGCCGCTTCTCCAGACGGGGGTGGAGTGACACTCCTGATGTGGAGACGGACGGCGCGGAGGCCGCTTCTCCAGACAGGGGTGGGGTGACACCCCTGATGTGGAGACGGACGGCGCGGAGGCCGCTTCTCCAGACCGGGTGGAGCGGCAGCCAGGTTCAGCGGCCAGCATCGATATGGCGAGAGGCAGGGCCGTCTCCGTCCCCGTCGGACGGTTCGCCACTGACCTGAAGGCGACGTTGCCGAAGCCGGGTCGGTCGAACAGCGACTGCTCGGCAGCCGCCCCCGACTGGTTGAAATCCAGGTCCGTCAGCTTACCCCGCTTGCCTGGCGGGTGACCGGGCACAGGTGTTGGCTTGCAGACGTGGCCCGGCACGAACACCAGCGCGCCGATGCATACCCCACTCATATAACGTATGAATGTTTAACGTGTGGATCATGCACGCCGACGTTTTCTGCCAAGCGTCAGTGTGTATTAATGACGGCGACTGCCTTACGGTAACCCGTCCGTCGATCCCTGGGTGCCACAATCCGAACCAGAGATCCATGCTCTGACAGGCGGTGTGGTGCGACGGATGATGCCCCAGTCCGACCAGGGCGCCAACGCACATCAAGGGGCACCAAAGCCTAACGAGGGGCGGGGCACAGTCTGCCAGGTCTCAGCACAGCCGGACACAGAACACCACAGTCACCAGGGGGCGCCACGCAGCATACGACAGAGCGCCAACGGTCGCCGGGGTGCGCCACACAGCGTGCGGCAGGGTCCTAACGGTCGGCAGAGTGACGCGCTGTGACGAGGCAGGCGTGACTCTCACCTGGGCCACTCTCACCTGGGCCACTCTCACCTGGGCCACTCTCACCTGGGCCACTCTCACCTGGGCCACTCTCACCTGGGCCACTCTCACAGGGCCACTCACCTGGGCCGTCGGCGCCCGAGCCCTCCTCCTCGTACTTCTGCACGTACATGATCTGATCGTCCCGCTTCAGGCCGGACAGACTGCGCACCGACTTGGTGCCGTTGGCGCTGTCGGACACCTGCGAACGGCACCGAGGTCACTGACCCCTGGCCGGGACGCCTCAGAGCTTGCATGCGCTCGCCCCGCGCTCGCCGGCCCATAGAGCGACTGACACGGTGTGGGGTCAGTCGGTTTCGGCCCCGAGATTTCCGAGACGGTCCTAACCCGAATGGCGGGCCCCTCCTGTGATCCAATCGAGGGGGCTCGTTGCCCGTGCACACGGCGCAGAAGCGTTGGCGAACATCCCCCCTCCCCCGCGACCTTCGAATATTCTGACGCCCAACATCAACATGCAAGTGCTTCCCTGCCCTGGCTTATCGGTGTAATTTCTGGCCGCAAACTGTGACGCCAAAGCTGACAACATCACCGATATTGACGTTTGGACAAAATCGATGACTTTCAACTTGCGAAATTTGGGGGTTTACGGAAAGCCTCTGCCGGAATTCAGACGACATGGCTGTGAGTGACTGGGTGAATGGGTAAGCAACAGACGAGCGTGGCTGTACAAATAATGAGAAAGTAAGGAGAGTGCAAATATATCTAAGGTAAAGGTGCTGATAGGACCTCAGGGTCGTGAACTACCTTATTGCTATAGGCGATGTAATTATATATACTATAGGTGCATGCTCTTGCTAAATGGGAATAGTCCATTCAAACAGCTGACTCATTTGTGCCAAAACAGGAAGAAGATGGGGTCTACAAAGCACTACTCAATCGCAAAGCGTGACCGACAGTGAAAATATTTCTTTACATTCATCTGTGAATGACAGTGCCGTATTACAATGGCCTTGTGTAGTGTTGTAACGCAAGTACCACTAGGTGATGCTGGCCGGTATCATCGTCCATACCAATACAAAAACTTCGCAAGAATATGGTAGCGTTAAGAGCAAACTCCCATTAGGGAAAGGGATCACATCGATTACGAGCAGATGTCGGATTCCACGCCTTTAACTAAAGAATGCTGTTTCTGTGGACTTGTCTCTTTAATTGCGCAGGACAATCCCGGCACCTTGCGCCCGCCGTGTTTAGGTAACTTGATGTTCTTCGACATTCAGGGCGCCTTTAACACCACCTGTGACCTCACGGCAGCCTGCCCAAGATAAATAAGTGTAGCATCACAGCAGCATGAGGAGCATTGCCCTGAAGCGCTCTTGAGGTCCAAGTGAGAGGGCGTGAGCTCAGGACTGAACCCACGGGGTAACGGAGTTTCGGAGGACACTTACCCAGGTGGGCGGTCCTCATTTGTAAACGGCCGCCGCCTACACCATTGCATTGCATTGAATGCAGCCTCAGTGGTGCATTAAACCTAGGCCATCCTAGGAATTTTGATCTTACCAACCCTTCGACATTTTAAATTTTGAACTTATCTTCAGCCCTTGAACCTTTAAAACAGTATGCGTAGGCATGTAACTGGAGACAAATTAACGTCAGGTACTAAAGTTTGCTCTAAGGTCGCCGTAAGCTGTCCTCTTCGATTAAAACAAACTCGATTTTGTATTTACCCCGTCTCGTTGCTTTGGAGGCTATCGGGACGCCTTATGAAAAGTTCACAGACAAGTACAGACTTGGAAATAAAGAGAAGGTAGTCGCCACGCTTCACTGCCCGCACTCCCTCCTCAGCGTGCCTCCCTCGCCGAGCCTCCCACCTGCCTCACCGTGATGTTCTGCTCCCCACCCTTCACTCCCGCTCTCCCTCCTCAGCACGCCTCCCTCGCCAGCCTCCCGCCTGCCCCACCGTGATGTTCTGCTCCCCACCCTTCACTGCTGCCCTCTCCCCTCCTCAGCGTGCCTCCCTCGCCGAACCTCCCGCCCGGCTCACCGTGAAGTTCTGCTCCCCCACACCCTGCCGCTCTCCCTCCCCAGCGTGCCTCCCTCGCCGAACCTCCCGCCCGGCTCACCGTGAAGTTCTGCTCCCCACCCTTCACTTCCGCTCTCCCTCCTCAGCGTGCCTCCCTCGCCGAGCCTCCCGCCTGCCCCACGTGAAGTTCTGCTCCCCACCCTTCACTGCCGCTCTCCCTCCTCAGCGTGCCTCCCTCGCCGAACCTCCCACCTGCCTCAACGTGATGTTCTGCTCCCCACCCTTCACTGCCGCTCTCCCTCCTCAGCACGCCTCCCTCGCTCGCAGCCTCCCGCCTGCCCCACCGTGAAGTTCTGCTCCCCACCCTTCACTGCCGCTCTCCCTCCCCAGCGTGCCTCCCTCGCCGAGCCTCCCGCCTGGCTCACCCGTGAAGTTCTGCTCCCCACCCTTCACTGCCGCTCTCCCTCCTCAGCGTGCCTCCCTCGCCGAACCTCCCGCCCGCTCACCGTGAGTTCTGTTCCTCGAACTTGTTGTTGCGCCGCTGCTGCAGACGACGGTTCACAACCGCCCGCAGCATGCGGTTCCGGTTGGCGGCCGCCCCGGCGTTCGTCAGCTCGGAGAACCTGGGCGTCTGGCCGCTCACCTGCCGCACCGCGCCGGGGACGTGAGGTTTTCTCACTTTTGGAGCTCGCATTCATTTCTGGTACGGAACTGACCAGACCCACCGCATGGCTTGTTTGCCCGGGTTCCAAATGGTTCGCACGGTCGGTTTGGCTCAGGCTGCATGGGAGGTACCTAACAGAGCTTGTTGCCAGTACCGGAACGTCGCTGAACTAATGCGATTCCAATTACGACGACAACTTAACTTCTATATGATCCTCTGTATATACCGCCCGACACTACGACGGAGCATGCGTAGGTTACGTGCAGGTTTATACGTGCCTGTTCCCTACATGTGCTCATCTACGGACTATGGAGTCACCCCGCAGGCGCGTCACCAGTCCCATAAAAACATCTCGATTGATGCAAAAAGGTCTGTAAATACTTTCAGTGTTGACCGGCTGGCGAGCCTAACACATCTCAATAATATACCGAATGTAGGTCAGGCAGCTGAGCTATGACATAATCGTCGGGTTTGCACTGCGACTTGCGCCTCGCCGTGTAGCCAATTACAGTTACCGTTATTGTTTGGCTTGTTCTTCTCGACAACTTACAGGACGGTTTAGTTGATTGCCAGCTGGGATCCGTTTTACTGCATGGGTATTTACTCTCGACAAGAGCCCTATGTGATGCATTTCATACGCATAAAACAAAAGAGCTATGTATTTTGTATCAAGAGGTCGGCATAAGGGCAAATTTATCAGCAAATAGTTTGCATAGCTTATGCGAAGCGGATGCAAAAGTCATACCTAATGACCAAAGCCCAACTTTGCCGTGACCGGACAATGAGCCTCCATTACCTATGGGGCGCGGCTCTGAAGCGCAAGACACGCTCTTACGTTAGATGCAGAAGAAAACGCTGTGCAAACCATCTAGTTATGTAAATATTATTTTTAGTTATTTATTTCATTCATGATATCTATGCTTTATTTAGATTCCCCTGGGGTATTTTGCACGGGCTTGGTCGTATCAGTCGCGTGACGAGTGCCGTGCTGACTGCCCCTCAGTGAGAGTGGCCTGGGCTATCGGCTAACGATCGGATTTCACTGATCCCATGATTAGATCATGAGATACCATGGAGAAAATTGCAGTCCCACAGGCGGTCGCGTAGACGAGAACTATCGGTTGGCATCGAGCTACCGCTGTCTGTGTGCTGCTGCCACAGGCGCTGAAGCGATTCATCATGAGGAACCCTCAACCTGACAGCAAGATCGCAGCAGGCCTTCTCCTGGCCACGGCCAAGCCTCCTAACTGCATGGATTCAGCAGACACATCGCCGAAACAATGGGGGCCGAGTATAGCTCGGTAGGTGAAAATGGGTGGGAGAACTCGTCAACACTCTAGCTAACCTTCCCCCTCAAAACCCCGTTATCATGCGCCGATCCGTGGCACGATAAGCGGC